TGGCCCCTGGGCCTCTTGTTTATTTTCAAAATTCTTAAGTAGTATTTTTTGTCTTCTGTTAAGATACACATTGCCTAAACATACTAAAGGAAACACTAAATGAATGTGAAATATTAATTATTTGGTCAACTCATTCTGTAAGCATTATTTGTAAATGTAAGCGCAAAGTGCCAATAAGGCAGGATTTGTCACTTCTTGAGATTAGAACTTCTCCTTTCGATCAGTGGAACAAAGAAATGTACGTTATATAATCATATGATGGAACTTGGATTTTGAATTTTGATAAATTATGTTTTTTGAAAAAAATATCATCTGTTGAATTAATTAAGTCAGTTTAATGCAAATTAATGCATATATTATGCAGCGTATCTCTTTTTTATGGATCAGTCAGATCCCTCAGACAGATTTTCAAGAAAATGTATAGGAGGTTCTTATTATTTATTTCTATCAGAGATGTCAGATATGCATTCTACTTGAGTTTTGATTGTTGTTTATTGTTAACTATTTGAAAAAAATGCCAGTTTTTGAATTTAGTCATTTAATGCAAAATATGATAGGGTACAATGATATTGTGAGATCTAAATTGTACAAATACAGATTTCCAGAAATTCCTTGTAATAATTTATGCGAGAATTATTGAACTGTTTACACAAATGAATACCTTGCCTGCTGTCACATTGACAACTTCCACTTGTCAGATAGTGATTTATAACTGATTTTTTAACATGCTGTTCTGGTAGTGGGCTATATTAAGTTGGCATAACTTCTGCAAAGGGATATACCTCACTATGTACTTAGTGCCATTGATTCACGTCTTTGAGATGTAAAATCAATGCAAATATTTACTTCTATCTTTTTAAACAGTTAAAACACATATTATATAATGGTGCACACAATTTATGTAATAGGAAATCGCTGAATTAAAAGATGTTATTCATGCATATATAAAGAACTCACTCAACTGTCAAAAGTAAACAAACAGAAATTGAATAACTTCTCTTCTGAACAAAAACAGCCCTTTCCCCTTGTCAGATGTTAAATATTACATGTTTTACTGCAATATCTGCCTGCCCAGGAACTTTATGACATTGAACTTGGAGAGCTTAGACGAAGGAATTTGATTATTGAGTAAAACTGCAAATGTAATATTTTAATCCTTAAATATTTTATACATGTAGTATACATACTATTTTCACTGAAATGTTTCTTGAATTTTCCATAAATGAATTGCAAGCTTTCTATTATCATAATTATATATAGCATTTGATTTTTATTAAGATGGGGAAATCATCAAAGCAAGAGTGAGTGGACACTGAGCACTAGAAGCCATGGGGACATTTAAAACCCAGATGTTATGGGAGGCCATCAGGAAGGGAGACCTGACTGGAACAATAGGTCTTCTAGAGAGTGGAAATATCAACCTGGAGGAGAGGGATGGGGTAAGTGTTACTGACAGACAGACAGACAGGTGGAAATATCAACCTGGAGGAGAGAGATGGGGTAAGTCTTACTGACAGACAGACAGAGGAAACATAGGCCTGGAGGAGAGAGATGGGGTAAGTCTTACTGACAGGCAGACAAAGGAAAAATACGAGGGCCGTTCAAAAATTACGCGGACTGTGTTATTATTATACGCCCGTCTTAAGACGGGACGTATTATGTTATAGGCTTTGTGTCCGTCCGTCTGTCCATTCCTGTCCGGCTCATAACTTGAATACTATTAGGCCTAGGATTATCAAACTTTGTCAACTCATACTTCTTGGGTAGACGGTGTGTCGCGCACAAAAAGTAGGTCGCTCTGACCTTTAATATAGATGCTATAGCCAAATATGGAAAAATCCTGTCCGGCTCATAACTAGAAAACTATTAGACCTAGAGCTTTCAAACTTGGCAAAAGTATACATCTAAAGTAGAAGGTGTGTCGCGGCCTATTTCAAGGTCACTGTGACCTTTAATTATAGTGAATTTTTTTTAAAAACTAAGTCTTTTAAATTCTAAATTTCATAATCCTAAAAAATGTAAAAATATAGTTGTATGCTTATTAAAAAACGTTAAATTAAGTAAAAACTTGTTTTTTCATTATGTACTTTACAGCAATCTGTAACAAATGTTTATGCTTTGAGAGGAATTCAGTTTGTCCCTTGGGCTTAATTATCAAGCACTGGTCAAGAAAAATTTTGATAGCAGAAATTTGCTTGTCAAATTAGAGAGAAATTAATGAGTTTATTGTCAGGAGCTAAGAGCACCTCTAGATCTGATGCAGATGTTCTTAATTTATCTCTTGGGAGTTGGGCAAAAAGAAATGGCCTCATAGTTGCTTGTGCTAATTAAGAGTTCTTGATGGCTAGTCCAGATAAAGATCTTTCAATAGGTGTAATGAAATTAAAACAAATTGATGTTTTAGTGTATGATTAAAACTAAATTAGTATTGTATAATATGATTAAAACTAATTATATATGTGTTCATTTAAAAAAAAAAATTATATTTTTGCAACAAAGATGCTATAGCAAAATATTGAAAAATCCTGTCCGGCTCATAACTAGAAAACTATTAGACCTAGAGCTTTCAAACTTAGCAAAAGTATACATCTAAAGTAGAAGGTGTGTCGCGGCCTATTTTAAGGTCACTGTGACCTTTAATTAAAATGAATTTTTAAAAAAACTATGTCTTTTAAATTCTAAATTTCATAATCCTAAAAAATGTAAAAATATAGTTGTATCCTTATTAAAAAACATTAAATTAAGTAAAAACTTATTTTTTCATTATATACTTTACAGCAATCTGTAACAAATGTTTATGCTTTGAGAGGAATTCAGTTTGTCCCATGGGCTTAATTATCAAGCACTGGTCAAGAAGAATTTTGATAGCAGAAATTTGCATGTCAAATTAGAGAGAAATTAATGAGTTTATTGTCAGGAGCTAAGAGCATCTCTAGATCTGGTGCAGCAGTTATCTTAATTTATCTCTTGGGAGTTGGGCAAAAAGAAATGGCCTCATAGTTGTTGTGTTAATTAAGAGTTCTTGATGGCTAGTCCAGATAAAGATCTTTCAATTGGTATAATTAATTAAAACAAATTGATGTTTTAGTGTATGATTAAAACTAAATTAGTATTGTACAATATGATTAAAACTAATTATACATGTGTTAATTGAAAAAAAAAAATTATATTTCAATTTTTATATATTTGCCACAAATTGCAGTCATGTCTCACTAGTATTATTTGTTATAATCAATCCCTACACTGTAAGTCTCAGAGATGTATAATAAGAAATGGAAAATAGATAATTGAAATCTGTGTCAATCTGTTAATCATGGCTACCTGATTTTCTTGTATCCTAACCAATTTATGATTATTGAACATTATTATGCTTCCTGTCAGTTTGTCTCTATATAACCCATACCCTACTATTCTCGCATAGTGGTCTAAGGATTTATATAGCGTAAGCATACTATGCCGAAATAGTGCACGGCTTCATTTACTGAATAAAATTCTTCCATGCACATGCCGGGGATCGAACTCACGACCACGAGATTGTCAGTCCGATGCCTTATCGATTACGCCATAGAGACGATCACTGTTTGATTCAATTTTATTAAATATATAAACTTAATTTATACAATTGACACAAGAAGGAGAAAATAGACAAATATTATTTGAAAACAGTTATATTATTCTAAGGAACTTTAGATTAATGTGTACAACAAACGTTCAAACTAATCACATACAGATCGTTAGATGAACTGATTTTATAGGGTCATTAAAACGCTTTTTTATATGACGCTTGATTGAAGGATGTAAAAGAAAATTATCAATGAGAATCGACGTCTGCAAACAAATAAGGCTTACGAACAAAACAGAAAATAAAGATGTGTTGCTTTGGGACAGAAAATCCCGACTTATTTAGAGAAAATACTAGTAACCAAAATAACTAAGCATGCCAACAATTTTAGCATGAATATTTTGAATGAGTTCTTGCAAGTGCGCTGTTTAAGCACCGATATTTGCAGGAAAAAGTCAAATAGATTGCCGCATAAATAATTACAACAGTCAGCATAATAATAATAACAATAGTGTTGCATTATGCATGTACTAAGATGTAGCCTAAATAGTAGGCAGGGTTTGACACATGGTGCACGAGCCGGAGGCGAGTGCACTATGTGTCAAACCCTGCCTACTATTTAGGCATAGTACATGCATAATGCAACACTATTATATAAATATTTGACGGGCGTATCATGCTGTGGCGGGGCACTTTATTTACTCTTACAGACGTCATATAGTTATGAAATTTCACAGAAATATGTATCTTAAAGATTCCAATAAATCTGGGGCAAAATTTATGTATTTTAAAAAATTCTACTAAAATTATCGGTATGTTGACATCGCTGATGAAGAGGTACGGAGCACGACAAAAAATTTGAAGCAAAAGCATGCGGAATCTAAAATTTAACTCATTAATTTTCTATAATTCGCGATATTTTTCAACAATTTTCTCAAATGTTTCTTTAAATTGTTCTATTATTATGTATTTTGATTTCTGACATGATATTTGAAATACTAACAGAAAAATAGTGATTTTTCTCTGATGCGATCCCTTTGAAAACGACTTTGAAAATGACGTCTCCTGAATTGACGGCGCACCACACTTGTTAAATATATTGCATGTGATGCTCGAGATATCGTCAACATAGATCCAAAATATGCATAATTAAACATCTAGTAAACTAGGGTATTCGTGATATTCGTCCACAAGTAGCAAAATGAAATTTTAGACCGTTAGACCTCTGTAAAAAGGCTATACTGGAGGACGGGAAGATGATTATCAACGAAAACTTTATCCGGACTGTATAGAACGTGATTGCGAGTCACCATTATCATACTATATCTCATAAATACCTGCATATTTTGGTTTTAAAACAAAAAAGAATATCCTTTACTTGTTAAATAGATTTTAAGCTTGACAAGAAATAGTGTTTGGATGTTGATTAGATAAGGTAACTAAAACTGTACAGGTACTCTTGGGAAAATGTTGAGAAAATGAAAGCTCAATCACACATTTTTTAATGCCTGTGACGTCGAAGATTTTGCTGCTCCGTGACTTAATGATATGTCCTGACAAATCACTCAAAATCGATACCAATTTATAACATTTTGATATGAAATTCTGAAAACCATATAAGTAAAGATTCTTTTATATTATGTGTGACACTTTGCCCGATTATGTCGTCAAATATTTTTTCTGTGCAACTAGTCCGCGTAATTTTTGAACGGCCCTCGTAGACATGGAGGAGAGAGATGGGGTAAGTCTTACTGACAGACAGACAAAGGAAAAATAGACCTGGAGGAGAGAGATGGGGTAAGTCTTACTGACAGACAGACAAAGGAAACATAGACCTGGAGGAGAGAGATGGGGTAAGTCTTACTGACAGACAGACAAAGAAAACATAGGCCTGGAGGAGAGAGATGGGGTAAGTCTTACTGACAGACAGACAAAGAAAACACAGGCCTGGAGGAGAGCGATGGGGTAAGTCTTACTGACAGACAGACAAAGGAAAAATAGACCTGGAGGAGAGAGATGGGGTAAGTCTTACTGACAGAAAGACAAAGAAAACATAGGCCTGGAGGAGAGAGATGGGGTAAGTCTTACTGACAGAAAGACAAAGGAAACATAGGCCTGGAGAAGAGAGATGGGGTAAGTCTTACTGACAGACAGACAAAGGAAACATAGACCTGGAGGAGAGGGATGGGGTAAGTCTTACTGACAGACAGACAGACAAAGGAAACATAGGCCTGGAGGAGAGAGATGGGGTAAGTTTTACTGACAGACAGACAAAGAAAACATAGGCCTGGAGGAGAGAGATGGGGTAAGTCTTACTGACAGACAGACAAAGGAAACATAGGCCTGGAGGAGAGAGATGGGGTAAGTCTTACTGACAGACAGACAAAGGAAACATAGGCCTGGAGGAGAGAGATGGGGTAAGTCTTACTGACAGACAGACAAAGGAAACATAGGCCTGGAGGAGGGAGATGGGGTAAGTCTCACTGACAGACAGACCAACAAAGGAAACATAGGCCTGGTGGAGAGAGATGGGGTAAGTCTTACTGACAGACAGACAAAGGAAACTTAGGCCTGGAGGAGAGAGATGGGGTAAGTCTTACTGACAGACAGACAGAGGAAACATAGACCTGGAGGAGGGAGATGGAGTACGTCTCACAGACAGACAAACAGACAGGTGAAAATTTTAAACTGGAGGAGAGAGATGGGGTAAGTCTAACAGACAGACAGACAAACAGACAGGTGGCAACATTAACCTGGAAGAGAGAGATGGGGTAAGTCTTACAGACAAGCATACAAACAATGGAAATATTAATATGAAGGAGAGATGGGGTTAATCTTACAGACAGACAGGTGAAAACATTAACCTGGAGGAGAGGGATTTGGTAAATCTAACAAACAGAAAAAACAGGTAGACAGGAAATGTTAACCTGAAATTTGTTCAACAGAGCAAGTGCTCACGAATATTTCCGTGGAAGTATAGGGAATTTTGGCGAGCCCTCACAAATGTTCGCCCTGTTGAACAGGCCCCTGGAAGAGAGGGATTGGGTAAGTCTAACAAACAGCGAAACAGACAAACAATGGAAATATTAACCTGGAGAAGAGGGATGGGACAGACAGAGAGGTAGGATTAAGTTATTCTGAAAGACAGATAGACAATAGGAAATATCCACTAGCAAGAGAGGAGTATGTTGACTAGCAGACAGACATTGTCAAGTAAAAGCAATTACAGTGGAGCCTCATTTATCCGGACGCTTTGGTTCCTAGTCAATTTGTCTGGATATGTGAAGCGTCCTGATACCTGAATCACCAGTTAAACAACACAATATAACATTTAAAAATTCCGTCCCGATGAAAAATTGTCCGGATACTGAAGCATTGGGATATCTGGGGTCCGGATATCTGAAGGTCCACTGTATCAGTTCTTCAGGAATTCATTATTTCAGATTTGAAATGATTTCCATTCTCTTCTGAATACACTTTTAACTAACATATATCTATGAATCTTAGCTGTTGCTTTAAAAATTTTCCTTGATGCATATACATGTATATAATTCTGTTTATAGAATGGCCAGACGTTCCTGATGCTGGCTTGTGAGTTTGGGGAGTTAAATATAGTCAGGGAACTCCTGGAGGCACACGTGGATCCAAACGCTGTAGACATGGTAAGAAAAAATATTCCCAAAGTAAACTCACTTTGGTATTCATACTAAGAAAACAACATAGTTATTATAAATACTGTATACAAGGTTATTTTCGCCCCGTGTTATTTTCGCCCTTTTACACTTCCTAACGATTTTGCCCCGTTTTAAATTCGCCCAGTTAGAGCTCTGTTTAAGAATTTATACTGTGTTCTTTGAATTCACCCCGTTTTAAATTCACCCATTTTTGACAAGGGTGAAAGGGGCGAAAATAAAACGGGGGTGAAAATTTCCCTGTATACAGTACTCCTGTAGTGAGTCCACACTTTTATTGAATCTGAAATCTGGGGAATAAGTTTTATACATTTATTAATATGAAGAAGGTTTAAAATCATAGTCTGATTATGAATTTTTGTTTCTGTTTTACTCAGGATAACTGGAGTGCCCTGTTATACAGTGCTAAGGAGGGGCACCTGGAGATAGTGATTGAGCTGTTAGAGAGAGGGGCAGACATTGAGCACAAGGATATGGTACAGTTACTTACAATACTACTCACATAGTAGACAGTGTTCTACCATCTTAATATTTATGTCTGAAGCTCACAACAAGAGTACTCATTTAGCAGTCATTTGTTGTTATTTAATTGGCTTTTAATGCAATTATCTAGTAGATTGAGATTTATTTACATTTTACTTAAAGTATGATTCGATGTCTGTTTCAGTGTGGCTGGACAGCTCTGATGTGGGCGTGTTACAAGGGAAAGTATCTGGTGGTTCAGGAACTCCTGGAAAGGGGAGCAAACTGCAACATTAAAGCTGAGGTAAAAACAGAGTTGTTTCCCTTGATAAAGAAAAAAATATCATAATGTTTATTTACTTTAAATTGTTCATTTACATGGTAAAAAATGTTTTCAGAAATATAAATAGAAAACATTAAGCTGAATAAAAGGTGTAAATTTGTGTTTAGATGAACATGACTTGTTTGGCCTGGGCAGCAGGACGCGGTCACACTGATGTAGTGAAGATTCTGATTCAGAAAGGAGCTAAAGTTAATACACCAGACAAAGTAAGACACCTAAGTGTAAAATGTTATAATCTCCATACTGTCTATGTTTAAAAAAAATTCCAAATTAATTAACTGTATATCAGTTGTCTTTTGTTTATATCTAGTAATTGTTTTGACAGTACGGTACCACCCCCCTGATCTGGGCCTGTAGAAAGGGTTATCTGGAAATCGTGGAAACTCTTCTCAATGAAGGAGCAAATACTGATGTTGTGGGAATGGTAAATATTACTGTCACTTACAGTGCACTGTAAATATATAAGACAAATGCATGATAAAAGTGTGGGTTTTTTTTTTTGATAATTATTATTCCAGGTCTTTCTATGATGAAAATATGTGAAAGAATGAAGAATATGTCTAATAACACATTTTTCCCTTTATAGAATTCCTGGACAGCTTTGTTAGTTTCAGCTAAGGGAGGATTTACAGAGGTTGTTCATCAGTTACTGGAGTATGACCCCAATGTTAACGCTGTAGACAAGGTAGAGAAAGCTGTTACCAATATAATTCTTAAAATAACAAAAATCTGATTTCAGTGATTCAAATGGAACTTGGTATAATCACAACAATAATTTGATTCAAAGAGAAAACATTCAGCATTCATATTTTATTGGTGATGTATATTTGTAGGATGGCTTTACTGGTTTGACGATTGCAGCTAAGGAGGGTTACACTGAGATAGCTCATGATCTTCTCTCAAAAGGAGCCTACGTCAACATTAAAGATAGGGTACCTAGTGCTTACTTTGATAGTCATGATTGATAAACTTAAGCCTTTTAATAATATATTTCGATTACTTTTGTAAAAATAATTAAATCTTCCAAATGTTTTTCTACATTACTTCTTGACTGGATCCAGAAATGAATGTGTGTAAGAGTTGGACAATTTCTATAGATGGACATTTTATAGGTAGTATATGTAAGAGTTGTAAAGAGTTGTATGGTTTCTATAAATGGAAATTTTATAGGCAGGAGACACAATTCTGATTCATGCAGTGAAGGGTGGCCATATTGAAGTAGTCCGAGCTCTGATTGATAAATATGCTGACATCGATGAGATTGGAGCGGTGAGTTGTAGACTTTGTGGTCATTTAGTAGTAAAGATTTAGTTTTTGTTTGGAATTCTTTTAAGCTGAGTAAGTTTAGTAGACTAATATTTATGATTTTATGATTTATGGTGGATGATATGCCATATAGAATAAGATAGACTTATACATGTTATATGTTTTTTTTTTTCTAGGAGGGTAAAACAGCTCTGTATTGGTCAGTAGAGAAGGGTTATGTAGAAATCTGTAAACTGCTGCTTAACAACGACCCTGACCTGGAAATCGCCAACAAGGTGAGTCCTAGTGTCCTCTGCTGGTGTGAATATTTTATCAAAATGCAGCTGAAAAAATATTTTCAGAATCTAAACTCTGAGAAATGTAGATAAAAGATTTTAAAAATAAATTGTTAAATACAAGCAAAACCAGCCATATGCTACTGCTAGTTTGTGATATTAATGGATGTTAGTTACAGTTTATGTTTAATTTTAGCTGTTACAATATTTACATGTATGATCTTTCTTATTAAAACAAGGGTTAAAACATGTACCCATTTCTTATGTGTAGGATGAAGACACGCCTCTATTGAGGGCGGTAAGAAGTCGGAATGAGCCGTGCGTTAGACTTCTACTGGACAAAGGGGCCAGAGTGTCCGCAGTTGACAAGGTCAGTAGGTCATCAGTGTCATTATTAAAATAATAAGATTTACATATTTACATGAACCAAAAAAATAATGTGTATCTCTTCTGAAAATGTGAACAGAGAGAGGTAAGATTTGATGTGTGATCAGTTTTATTGTGACGATTCTTTTCAAAGGCACTTTGTTGTGATTTTCTAAAATGGAATTAACATACTCTAAATACTTTGTCATAACCACTTGAAATAACTTGGATATAATGTACAGCTATTATTAATCATTATTTTCTAATCTTTATTAAATAATAATCTTAAAAGAGTCATTCAAATGCTTACACACAGTCAAAAAAAGAGTAACAAAGTCCAGAAAGTAAAACTTGCCTCTAGCTTCAGTTTAATTGTGTGAGTCTTTGACTGGACAATTGGCCAACATGGGTGAGTCTGGCTTTTATGATTATGTGTAAAAATAGCTAGACAACAAACCCAGGTAAAGCTCATCATAGCTGCTTCAATTGGAAAATAATAATGTGTGAAAAATTCAAATGATATAAAATGATTTTCTGACAATGCAATTGAGTTGCATGTTTAAGATTCATTGAGTTGATATCTTAATAGTGTAAGATTTATCTGTAAAAGATTTATTGAGTTGATATCTGTATATTGTAGAGAGGTGATACAGCACTACACATCTCCCTAAGGGCCAGGAGTAAGCGAATCACAGAGCTCCTTCTCCGTAACCCTAGAAACAGTCGTCTGCTGTATCGACCCAACAAGGCTGGGGAGACTCCATACAATATCGACGCGTACCACCAGAAAGGCATACTTACCCAGATATTTGGTCACAGTAAGTACATTCCTCTCCCATTAATTTGAAGGGGGTACATAAGTACACTGTCTTGGTTTTTTATTTGATGTTCATGTACAATGATATGTCTTCTGCTAATTTTTAGTGATATCTGTGAACCAACTTTTATTTGCGAGTGCTAAATATCTGCAAGTTTTGTAACCTTTTATTCACAAATATTTCTCGTTATGAACCAAGTTTTCACTTATTAGCTCTACTGGTCAGAGACCAGAAGAGCTTATGCGATAGTAATGCGTCCGTCCGTCCGTCTGTCTGTCTGTATGTCTGTAAACAGTTTTTCAAAATGCTACTCCTCCTACAGTTTTGGTCTGATTTCAGTATAACTTGGCACACAAGTAGACTACACTAAGATACATAATTCTGTCTATCGATTTTTGATTTCGATGAACGGTGTTGCCGTGGTTACTAAAAATAAAAATTTCTATGAAATACTTTCAAAATGCTACTCCTCCTACAGTTTTGGTTTGATTTCAGTATAACTTGGCATACAAGTAGACCACACTAAGATACATAATTCTGTACATCGATTTTTAATTTCGATGAATGGTGTTGCCATGGTTACTAAAAATAGAAACTTCTGTGAAATACTTTCAAAATGCTACTCCTCCTACAATTTTGGTCTGATTTTAATATAACTTAGCACACAAGTAGACTACACTAAGATACATAATTCTGTCTATCGATTTTTTATTTTGATGAATGGTGTTGCCATGGTTACTAAAAATAGAAATTTTTGTGAAATACTTTCAAAATGCTATTCCTCCTACTGTTTTGATCTGATTTCAATATAACTTGGCACATAAGTAGACTACACTAAGACACATAATTCTATATATCGATTTTAGATTTCTATGAACAGTGTTGCCGTGGTTACTAAAAATAGAAATTTCTCTGAAATACTTTCAAAATGCTACACCTCCTACAGTTTTGGTCAGATTTCAATATAACTTAGCACACAAGTAGAGTAGACTACACTTAGATACATAATTCTTTGTATTGATTTTTGACTTCAATGAATGGTGTTGCTGTGGTTACTAAAAATAGAAATTTCTGTGAAATACTTTAAAAATGCCACTCCTCCTACAGTTTTGGTCTGATTTCAATATAACTTGGCACACAAGTAGACCACACTAAGATATGTAATTCTTTTTATCCATTTTAGATTTCAGTGAATGGTGTTGCCGTGGTTACTAAAAATAGAAATTTCTGTGAAATACTTTCAATTTGCTACTCCTCCTACAATTTTGGTCTGATTTCATTATAACTTGGCACACAAGTAGACTACACTAAGATACATAATTCTGTTTATCGATTTTTTATTTCGATGAATGGTGTTGCCGTGGTTTCTAAAAATAGAAATTTCTCTGAAATGCTTTCAAAACGCTACACCTCCTACAGTTTTGGTCTGATTTCAATATAACTTGGCACACAAGTAGAGTACACTAAGATACACAATTCTGTATATCGATTTTCGATTTCGAGGAATGATGTTGCCATGGTTACTAAAATTGAAAATACTCTAAAAGTTTATTAACAGCTACTCCTACAGCTGTAGTCTTATTGCAGTATCTTGCCACAAAAAGAGCTCAATCAAGCATCATTATTCTATTTATTGCTGTTGTAAAGTTTTAAGTCCCAATTGCTACTTTTGTCTTCATTTGTTATAAGTACAAACTAGTAGAGCTTCAGTCTCAACAGAGACTTCTGGTGTTTTTATGTAGTGTTGATATAGTCACAGAATTAGTTGCAGATACACTCCAAACAGTAGAATCGCAAATAAACAATGTAGTGAATTAAAGTTGACAGATAATCATGTTGTTTAAATTTTCTGATAGGAAATCTGAATGCTAATGACGGTGAGAATTTACTGGGATATGAGGTGTACAGCAGTGCCCTGGCAGACATCCTGAGTGAACCCTCTCTGAACACTCCCATTACAGTGGGGCTGTATGCCAAATGGGGGAGTGGCAAGTCTTTCCTCCTCAGTAAACTTCAAAGTAAGTACTGTAAAATCCTAAATATAAGCGTGGAATTTATAATTGCGTAATTTCGCGAGAAGAACCATTCGTGAATTAAAACTATTCGCTTTTATTTTTATGATACTGAAATCAATGTAAAATCTCTTTATCAATCGTACATTCGCGAATTATTATTCTCGCGATTTGACCTTAAAGAGGCCTTTCGCGATATTAAGTACTTGTGAAAAATAAGGAATCTACGGTATACAAATCAAATACAGAATTTTGAATGGGTATTTTCAATGAAAATTCTACAAAGGGATTATTTTTAAATACCTAGTATATTTAAAAAAAGAAGTTAATCATTTTTTTTTTCATATACTTAGTAGTAAAAACACCAATTCTGCATGTTGTGATATGGGTGATGTCACAATACCCCATATCAAGGATCGGTCCGAAAATCCATATCATGAATCGGACTGGTGGGCAGAAAATCCATATCAAACCTGAAGTAATGCTTGTATAAAGTTTAAAAGTTAATTTACTTGATTTTATTTAAATATATATGTAAAATAATTCTTTAATTACATTTGTGGACTGAACATTTTTTCAGTTACCTAAAATTAGCTCTATTATATTTTAAAGAAAAAATTATAAACAGACACGAAACATTCTTCTATGACCTTCGGCCCTCGGGCTGATATGGGGCCACTCGGGCAGATATGACATATGATATGGATTTTAGTATTCATGTTCTCTATATATCATAAATGGTATAAGAATGAAAAAAAAAAACTTTAAATTAGAGTTAATATTTGACGTTTTTTCAAATTATAAAATTCACAGCCCCCCATGCAAAATTTAAAGTGTCTCTGTTGTCAGTATAATTGCTATTCAGATAGTAAAGTGTTTCATTTATTTCAAATAACATTGTCCTTGTAGAGGAGATGAAGACTTTTACCCGCGCTAACAAGGAGGATCACTTCACCTTCAGCTGGACTCTGTTTATCATTCTCCTCCTCCTGAACAACTTAGTGGGGCTCACTCTTGCCATGACTGTGGGATGGGAAGTCGGCCTCGGGGTTGGCCTCGGGCTTTTTTTGATTGATTACATATTTCTGGGTAAGTAACCATATTTTAACAATCATAGATTATTAAAGTATTGTGACACTGTTTTTTTGGTGATTGTAACCTCTATTTGGTATTTATTAGTTAGTAAAATTTTCGCAAATTTTGGTTATTGCTGTACAGAATTATATGTTTGATGGCTGTTGTATAGGTGTGCTTCACCTGCTGTGCCACCGCTACAACCTGAAGTACGCTAACCGCCTGAGTCTGTTACTGGGGAGGAAGATCCAGATCACCACGTCTCTTCTACAGGTCCTCTTCCTCAACTCCAAACGCGTCTCATCCTCGTCTAAATACATAGAGCCCTCCGTCAAGTGAGTGTTACGTAAAGCGATGGAATTCATTTACAACTATTGTCAAAATAAATGCATATTTATGTTTTCATCTAATTTATATTTAAAAAATGCAATATTCAAGATTAAGAAATTACTTAACTTGATTTTGATATTTTCTGCAATCAGATGCCCCATTCAGGCTGACAAGGGCTATAAATCTTAAGCAAAATCACTTTTGATGTCAGTGTCACTTTTCCACTATAATAATATTCCTTTTGTTAAAAAGAGACTAAGATCAAAAAGTGAGCTTGTCTATTTTTTTGGGTCCCCTATATTGTGCAAAACAAAAATGTTGAAGCAAGAAATGCAGTAAATGGTTTGTCTTATTGATGTCTGGTTACAGGTTCCTGTTTTCTGAGGGCACTAAGCTGACCAGTGTGGGAGGAGAGAAGGCCCTGGCGGCTATGATTGGAACCCTAGGGGAGGCCCTGGAGCAGGAGTATGGGTCGGTGGTGGCCAGGCTGTTCAGAGTCTTCAAACCTCACCCTGACAGTAAGCTATTACACAACACTCACAGAAGATGTACATGTGTTCACTCACTGAGGATGTATATTTATACAGGAATTCATTTACTGATATTCAAAAAAACTTTACAGAGCTTTGTACATGTTTTTCACCGTCATGATACAAAAGATTAAAATGATAAAATGCAGACTCTCCAATAAGTATAATACAAGGACATGTATTCAAAGCAATACTTTTTAATCATGATATTATATTAATTATTATCAATTTCAGAGCCGTATACTGGTCGCTTTAAGACACTGTGCTGCGTGCCCTACTTTGTGATCGTCTATCTGGTCTGTCTGGCCCTGGAGATTGGAGTGTACCTTCTGGTCTCTCACTTTGCCTTTAACCAGTTCACTAACGAGGATCGTGTCTATAGTAACATGACAACAGTGGCTGTCCCACACAATCAGGTGGAGGAGTACCCCGCCCTGTTTGGGGTCCTCTTCACCATTGCCATCATCGTGGGGCTGGCCATCATTGGGAACATCTACACCTGGGGGCAGGCCATTCTGGCCCTCCTCTCCTCACAGAGGAGACGAATCATGAAGGCCGCGGACAGAATCGACAAGATTAAGGTGGATGGTCTGATGCACATCCTTAAGTACGAGGTGGACCTGATGGCGAAGATGGTGACCTTCATGGACAAGTTTACAGAGAACCAGACAAGGCTGGTGGTTATTGTGGACGGACTGGACAGCTGCGAGCAGGACAAGGTGCTACACGTGCTGGACATTATCAAGGCCCTCTTCTCTGACGAGGACTCCCCATTTATAACCCTCCTGGCTATAGACCCACACATCATCATTAAAGGCATCGAGAGTAATATAAAGACGGCATTCCAGGACTCCAATGTTAATGGCTATGATTACCTCAGGAATGTGGTGCACCTTCCCTTCTATCTACAGAGTCAGGGGATGGCCATCAAAAAGCAGGATATGGCCAAAAGTCCTTCCACATTTGAAGTATCGGGGAATCCCGAGTCTCCATCTAAAACAAGAAGGGTAAGTTACAGTGTAGGTATAGGAGAGTAAAAAGAATCAAACTTCAGTATCTGGAACACTGTTGTATCGAATATCAAAAATTGTCAAAGTGAATCTATCCCCATTGTACTATGAAACAGATTTTCAACTGCCATTTCCATTTTCATTAGATTAGAAGAATTTTACATGTCTCATGTGTTTGCTTGACTGTAATGAAAGAAAATTTAGTTTATACCCCCTTTGTCATAATGAAAATGTAAACTACTTAAGAACATGTAAAGATGTATATAGATGTACATATATGAGCATTACAAAAGTACAAATTCACTATAATGTACCAGTAAGGAATTTACAAAATAAATAACTTCTTAAAATATTTCTTGAAATCTCAAGAATCTACAAAACTTTGACAATACATGAAATGATTATTGCTATTTAGAGTTACCAGCATCAGGAGTCTGTTATGTCGGGCTATTCCACTGGAGATATATCCACGGATAAGATGCGTCGCCAGCGTCAGTCGAGCGTGTCACACTCCTACACCTCCTCTATGGACCTCACTAACACCGTCACCAAGACGGACTACTTCAGCGACATCAACCCCCGCAGCATGAGGCGACTGATGAACATCGTCGCTATTACAGGTACAACAAAGGGTTTATGTAGCTATTACAGGTAGGACAGTGGAATCCAGGGGTTTGTGGGCAATACATGTAACAGCTCTTAATGCAGCAGGGACTTCCCTGCGGACTTGCCTGTGGGGAATAGTTCTTGTCAAGGATTTAATGAAAGAGCCATCCCACTCACAACCACTGGATAAGCATTTTATTATACTGATGTAAATTTTTTCTGAAGATTGGATTATCAGATACTACAGTTTTATTGGCAAACCATGTGAAGAACGATAACAAAATTTTTCAGTAATGAATATCATTGCATCTGAATTGCTTTAATGAAAATATAAAGCTTGAGTAATTTCCTTCTGTTAATAAAGCTATAAATTTTCAGCTCGTCTGCTGCGAGCGTACAACATAGACTTTAACTGGCACAGACTGGCCGCGTGGATCAACATCATAGAACAATGGCCATACAGAGTATCCTGGATCATCATTTACTTTGAGGAGAATGAGATTGTAGATCATAACACGACCCTCTTGTCTCTGTATGAAAAGTAAGATATACATAGAAATACACCAGTTATAAGTAAGAGATTGTAGGTCATACCATGACCCTCCTGTCCCTGTATGAAAAGTAGGTTAGAAACACACCAATTAGATTTCTTCATCGCTCATGATCTGAATGACAAGTAAAACTGTACAGAAATATGAAAGAAAAATGTACTGGTAAATATAAACACATTAATAGTATTAAGCTCTCAAGATTTGAACAACAGGTATAGCTATATGAAAAAAAACCACTGGAAGTATTATCATATGTGGAACTGTCTCTCAGGCTGTATTTCTTTTAACAGAGTGGCAGATAAAATTCCAGTGTCCAAGGAAATTGATCCTCTTCTAGAAATTGACAGGAATCCTCGTAAGATGGAGGCATTTTTATCCAGCAAACTGAGTAACAACACATTGCTGAACTTGAAGGATCTCAGAAAGTTTCTACCCTGTACCATCAACCTTGACCCCTATCTCAGGAAACTGATCAGAGGTATTTATAAAATCCTGATATGCTGAACCAAAGAATCTTATTCCATTTTTAAATCCATAATTCAGTACAAGCTAGGACATACATCACATGTTGTGAAAGTTTTTGATAAGATTTGTTTTTAACAGAATTCTTAATATACCAGGTACTTGCATTTTGAGAAAGGATGTATTCGCTTTGACAAAAGAATTGACCTATAGGAGAGAACAATTTCCCGGAAAAAGTGACTTTGAATAATTAATCTTTATTTCTTGTTTTCTACCCTATATATGTCTAAATTTTTCAAATTTGTATTTCATACCTAAAAATTATTATTTATAACTTTACAATACACCTTTAAAGTTGGCCTAAACACCAGTTTGTCCGAAAAAGTGTTGATTTTTGCATGAATTTTGGCCTAGAAGTCCTTCAGGGCAGGCCTGCCCCTAAATAAAATTGTGATATTTTGATAGGTTTGGATGTAAGGATTAATTTAAGATAGGATTTTTTTAGGGGCACCCCTGCCCTAGGGTCGAAATTCACAAAAAAACCTACAAAAAATAAGGAAACCTGATTTTGATCTGATTCAAATTTATACCCGTAAATGTTATAGTCAGACTAGCTCAGTTGATATATACGCTGACTAATACAGTGTGCACACTAACATTTTAAAGTCGGGGGTTCGAATCCACCTGGTACCACACTTTTAAATTTTTTAATTTTCGACTTTTCAAAGCCAATTATATATTTTTTATAGCCTTGTGTATTTTCCTTCAATTATATATCCTTTATGCATGCCCATTCTTTATATAAGAAACAAGAAAGAGATATCAAATCCTGAAAAACCAATGTACAGTTGTCAGTCAGGCGGAACAAACCTCAGTATAAGCACACTTTCTTCGAGGACAAGAATAACTCACTCTGTGTTACTTAATACAGGTACATTTGGAAGCATTGAGCTGTGATGAATGTCAATTGTATATATTCTTTAGGATTTAATAACACTGATTTTGGCTACATACATATCAGTAACTGTACTCCTCGGATTTGATTTAGGCCTATATAATTTGCATACATTAATGGAATGTTTTACTACATTCACGGATAAAATTGCCTAAACATAAAGAATAGAATTTCAGAGGCAGTAAACATTACCATTATGCTTATTGAGAGGTTATGACAAATATCAATTATTACATTTTGAGATAACAAACTCAGGAAATCAATGAAAGGGTTCCTCATACCTCTACTCGCTGAAAAAAAGATTTAGAAAAAACAGATTGTTATATGTATTCAGCCTAATGCCATTAATCAGAACGGAAATCGACAAGGTTTTTGTAGAGAAAAAACCAAGCCCGGTCCTATAGGTCAAATCCCTATTTATAATGAAGTGATCCTTTTGGTAAAAGATCTTGTAAATAGATGTAAAGAACTATATGCGGTATTAACCAACATTTGCCCCCCAAAATCAAACTTTGATGGAGTGATATTTAATTAAGTCCTTAAACAGGGGAGTATATGCTGACTTCAAAGCACTGAATAATTTCATAAGTAATGACGTCATATGTACGTAATGACGTCACAAATATGACGTAAATTTCAGTTTTTTATGAATTTTGCAGAAAAATGTACATATTTCGTCGATATTTTAAATAAAAGTCACCGAGCGCATGTGTGTTCAGGATTAAAATTTTGATATAATGTGTAGAATGATAATATCAATGAAATATGTCAATATTGTTCCTGAACACACATGCGCTCTATAAATTCTAAAGCTTAAATTGTTGAAATTTTGTCCATTTTGTCCTCTTTCTGAAAAAGGATATAAAATCGGACTAGTTTGTGACGTCATAAAAACAGAAATTGTGAATTCACTGCTCTGGAACTATAATATTTTCTGTTAACTTATATTTCTCGTACAATTTATTGAATTCAGCACATTTCAGGAAGTTTTCAAAATTTGACTTTTGTGGGGGCAAACATATGCAATATACCGCATATAGTTCTTTGTGTATAAGATTTATCTGAGGAAAGCAACTATGGAGAAAACAGTGAACAAATCAATATTGTGTATTTTAGAGATGCAGAAGAATATGGACACACTACCACCAACTTTTCCTCTGGGTCCCATGAACTTCCCCCCTCCTGCTGGTGCAGCCCCCACCCCGACAAGGAGGGCAGAGGTCCAGAGACACGCCCAGCAACCTTTTGTCCCCGTGCCTCAGTTGTACCCACAACCCAGAATGGACCAGATGGGGAGAATGCATCCCATGATGCCCTACAACATGATGCCGTTTTATCAGCAGGGATACGTGGATGTTCCTTATACATGTATGTCTGGTGGTACAGCTCCCTCTGCTGGTAGAGATACACAACAGGGCAAGGGAGTGGATCCAGAATCCGCCATTCAGGTATCAGAGTATAGGCTTGACGCTCTGTTTAGCTTGTTATTGTATGTGTGTAACCTCTGACATAGATTCTAAAAATTGTAGTATTCATTTTCTTACTGACCTTATTTCAGAACTACCAAGACCAGCCATTGAATTCTATGACAGTGAAGAATGTGTGTAAGCTGATAGAAAACATCAGAGGTCTCAACCCAATGCAAGTACAAGCCTACCAGAATTGCATTGTTGATAACAACATCTGTGGTATGGTCCTGTCTACCTGTGATTTGGAGGAACTGAAAGGGGTGCTGCAGATGAAGTTTGGGGATTGGCAGTTGTTCAAATCAGTTTTGATCGGGCTCAGACAGCGAGAGATGACCTGTGAAGAAGAAGGACAGTTTGAACCTGGGTCAAATAAAGAGGGCAATGAGACTATGGCTGGATTTGAGTCTGCCAGTAGTCAGAGCAGCAATGGATTTAATCAGTACTCTGACAGGAGAGCAGACAAAAAAGGTGGACAGGAACCATACCCCCAAATAGTAAAGGCAGACATCTCTACTCCGAGGATGACTCGTGTAGACAGTACGTACCAGCAGGTGGCATTTGAGACCGGATTGCTGCGGGAAGCCATGAACAACTTTACAGAGGAACTGGAGGATGAAGATCAGATCCGGCCCAACGTATCGTTTGCTCTCGACACCAAAGGGGCCTCACTGGATGACCTTGACGACGGCAGCAGCTTCAGCGAGAGTCAGCCATTACTGAGGATGAGGCCCTCCAGCCAGGTGTTCAGCGACAGCCGCCGCAAGGAGTCTCTTTGTGTGGTGCACGAGGCAGAGGAGCACGAGGCCCCCACCGCCATGTTCTATCTGAACGAGACGGACAACGCCTCCTCCGAGGGGGAGAGAGAGGGAGGGGGGTCAGGCATCCCCATGGTAACCTTTCACAGAGGAGATCAATCAAAGGAGGAACATGTATAATCCTAGGACAGATGGATTTTGTACTTACTTTTTCTACTTAGTTATCGTCATCTAAGGTCATGTCTGTAGCCAGATTATTCACAATTATTTAAATATGTGAATTAACTGTGCACATTTTTGCAAAAATCAATAATGGTAAAAACATTCCAAACACTGTTATCCTCTACACTTTTTTCTTTAGGGTTATTTGAAAGGGTTATGGATATAAACTGTCAAATCTTTCTATGTTAATATTGATTATAATGCCTGAAGAGAAAAATGCAGCGTTACATGTATTTACCAGGTCCTGGTGCCCTGTAGTGACGTTCAGTTTTCTTTCCTGTTACAGACTTAGGTATGCATGGTGATGATGAAATATGAAAAGATATTAGAATTTTTAGATTGTGTTTATGTATTTTTGTTATGTTAGTCATGCTCTGCTTTGCAGTTGGAAGAAAAAAATGAATATTGAAAACCAATGTCTAAGAAACTTGAGTGTTATAGATATAATTTTAATGTTATTTTTTGTTCCTCTACCATTCAGATCAGGTGATAATTGATTATTTTTTACTGCATGTAGATTTGATAAAAGCATTGCAACTATAATATAAAGTTGTTCAAATCATATGCTAATCAGTGCATCCAGTCATGAACTTTTGTTTGTAGCATGTGTCTTATTAGAAAGAGTCAAAATTCCATCTTTTTGGTCAATATGTTTAATAATGGAATTTATTCTCCAAAGAAAAGAGGTGTAGAACTGGTAATAATATTGATTATATCTGCAATTTTATAATAGGGCTCTCTTTGAATTGTCATCTGATGAGGTTGTATTGTTACTCTTTAGATTTTGATCACATGATTACACAAAATATCTGATGTTTTACGAGCTTTTGTGTGCACAAAAAATATCAGAGTCGTGAAAAAAGCCTGAAAAGCGTAAGATATTTTGGACTTTTGATTGAATAAATGTATATCCATTTAATCAGGATTGATGTAACCATGCAGAGGTAGTTCAATGTACAATTCAGTTTTAAACATTGAATATGTTTTTTGGAATTATTTAAATAAAATCATAAATATTTTTGCTTGTCAAAGTTTTTTTTCCACAGGTAATTTGGATTGTATGGGGGGGGGGGGGGGGGGGTGCCCTGCTTTCAAAAACTAGGCACACATAAAACTGCAGTCTTCACCAAATCTTTTTCTCAGTACTTCAAGCATTTGTAACCTCTAATTACACTAGCCCAAACAAATATTTACATGCCCAGAATTTTATCAAGTAATTTTATTCTTCATATTTGCCCTTTCACGCCAAGGAAATGATTCAAAATCCATTTCTATCAATCTATTGTCTTGCCCTTAATATTGTTTTAAACCTTTCATTCCTAGAATGAACTATCTGTAAAATTTTCTTTTGTGCTTGAAGCTGTTTAGATGAAAAACCAAAGACTTACAAGTATATTATACAATTATTGCTGTGTTTTGAGGTCAATACAATGATTTAGCCATCTGAGGAGTACAATATTCACCGAGCCCTAAGGGCGAGGTGAATATTTTACTTCGAAGATGGCTAAATCATTGTATTGACCGAAAAAACAGCAATAATTGTTTTATTATATGATTCACTGATAAAATGATTTGCATTAAAAACTTAAAACGCATTAAAAACTTAAAACGTAAATAAACCTTACCAATCATATCAATTTGAAATGTTTTTTATCAAGTTTAGTTGCCATGAAAAAAATATATATAATGTCAGTCTTTTTTTATAGGATAGATTTTGAAAGGAAGGAGTAATATCAGGAAATTATCAGGGAAAACTGACAGCCTAAAAAAAGTAAAATTGTTGTTCAGTAAAAAAAGTTGGAGGGGGTCCCTGCATTCCCTATTACCACCCCCACCCGAAAATATATATTCGAAAAAAAGTCATAGTTGTTTAAATAGCTTTCCAAAACAATTTGTATTAATTTGGAATTTCCCAAGCTATTTTTAGATCAATGTAGAGGAAATAAATCCTTGTATTCACCCGGAACGTCACGTGCAGGTCAATACAACGTAGTATTTTTCCAACTTAGTTGGATCTCGGCCAATCAGAGAGGTGGAAATTATTCAATCATATAATAATTAATGTTATTGAAATTATTAAATTTAATAATACGGAGGCTATATAATTACGTCTCAGAATTTACATGCCCTTCGGGCTTGTAAGTGTACAGTTTAAACGTGCCCAATTTTACCAGGTCCCAGGCTTCTGACTCCCAGGATTTGGTGAAGACTGAAATTGTGGTTAGAACGTTTTTTGTGTTTTTTTTTTTTTTTAACTTAAGGATCCGTGCGCTGTGGGTTCGAATCTTACTGCGAGACAATTTTTTTTTTTTTTTGAAGAGATTGTTACAAAATAACAGGATCCCTGACAGCTCAGTGTTTATGATAAGTGCAGAGTACATTTCAAAAATATCCTTCCAAGTTGTAAGTAGATGACGTCCCCGTATGGATGTAAAGTAAACTAGAAGGTCCCTGACACCCCCTCGATCCCCTGAAAATGCAGTGATCAGTCGAATCCGGTGTCAATGCAGTGATCAGTCGAATCCGGTGTCCAGAAAAACAAAAGTTAAGGTATTTTTAAGAAAAACAGGTCATTTTTAAAGGTGTTATTGAACATCACGTATTCTCGATTTTAAGTGTCATATCAACCTGTTCAAAGGACAAAGAATTATCTGAACTGAAATTACATTTAAATACATCAAAAAGCAGTTCGTTCTTAGTTAAAATTTGACTTGCATTTAGTTCACGCAATGGTTTTATTAAACTCCTTCGAAATGATAGAAAGCTAAATTTACACTATTGATTTTAATTGACTTAAAAAAAAATAAAACGACAGAAATTAATATTATATAACAAAGATATTACACATCATTAGGATTAAACTCGCATGGAATCTTCTTAGACTACGAAAAGCTCAAACAATTTGTAAAGAAGTAAGGACTTTGTGATTTTACCAGCAGACTTGAACACTTCATAAAACTTTGAATTTCTTCTTGTATGTATTTTTCTCTTCACTTGTATGCCCTGATGGGCCCTAAATTGGTATTAATAAATCTTATCATAACTTACTGGTCCGACACGATTTTCATTTAAAAGAAATAAACATTTAAATTTATTTTCATGTTTATTTGATTTTACTAATTAGTTAAGAAATCTCACATTATGTAGGTCAGAAATTTCACATTAAAATATATAAAAAATTGAATTTAAAACAAACTACCCAATATTACAAAGTGCATTAGTGTATAAAATGATGTAGCTGCAGATCATCTTGTCTTTAACCAGAAAGGCAAAATATATAAAACCAAAACGCTACAGGTCTGCAGCTAACATGATCCATAAATATCGCTCAAAGACTGAAAAAAAAAATTCTCTTGGGGGGGATATGATTTAAATATCTCAAATTATTGAATTTTATTATCTATCCTTTAACATTTTAAGTTTAAGTTTTCTGACTGTAAACCCCCAAAAATATTTGAAAAGTCTATAAAAAAGACCAAACTTAAAAAATTTCATGGGGGCGTGGTTCATCTTATTCGATAAAGCTCTGTAGATTCTATCTGGCGCGAAATTGGATATCGTCATCACTTTGTGTGACGTCATATCCGGTTTCTGCTATAAATTTTCCTCACATTAATCAGTTGGAGAAAATATAGGCCTTAAAATGTTTGCCACATTTTTATACATTTGTTAAATCGGTATCTTAAAAGCAACTACATGGTTAATATGCCACCCAAGGTATTCGGTGGCAAAGCTGATTCCGAAGAAAAGAAAGATGCCAAAGAAGAAAAGAAGGATTCAAAAGGGGAATCCAGCATCCCCACAAATAAATGGACAAAAGCAGTGAAAAAAGTGAGTATAAAATCAACAATACTGTTTAGTTTCAGTAAAATGCTGTAACTGTGATAGAGTTATAGACTTTGGGCAATTACATAACCGTAAGACCGTTAGAGACGGCAAACACCTGGGTGGGGGGGGGGGGGTATATAGAACGTTCTATCATTAAAATGATATTGTCTTACGGACCCGGTTGTGGTGAGGGCTTGTACCGAGACGAGACACAGTTAGATCATTCTAACTGAGGGGGGGGGGGGCAGAATGATGTTTCCTTTTCCCCCTTGTAAGGAAGAAAATAAATAATCTGTCCATGATCTTATTCCTTCGCTGACTTGAAAAAAGTTTTCAGCCCCCCACCCCGTTTCAGAATCAAATGGGCGTCCTCTTAAGGTCCACCCAACCTCATCCTTTTGCTATGAGAAGTGTTTTGGCTTCTTCAACAATTTTTTTCATAAAATCTGATATTGCAGATCTTATACCACTACACATCTCTATTATTTTAAAAGATAAAAACAATATTTTATGCTGTCACTTGAAACCAAGCATTCTTTAAATTTCATGTTAAAATTGCAATAACTGCATTGTTTTACACTTTCTTAACATATGAAAATTAATTTACTTTTGAAAAAAGATCGTCTAGCAAAGTAAGTTGTTAACCCCTCCCCTTTAAGAAATTTTAAGGCCAAAAAAATAATAGTCTTGTTTACTGCTACCAGCCTGAAAAAAATAGGATAGGTAGATAGGAAAATTATTTTATTTTTTTTATTTTTTTTTTTATTTTTTTTTTTTCAAATGGTACCCGGTATTTGTTGGATATGAACTATTACAAAACCAAATTAAACATGTCATAGGTCAATATTAACTTTTAAAATAGGAAGTGTTTTATGAAAGTTCATATTTAAAACTTATATTTCATGAAATACCACTTGAATATATATATATATTTTTTCACTTTTGGATCATAAAATTTCAATTTTCCCCCAAAAACTAAATAAAAACTCTAGGGTTCACGTTGGGTGCAAAAAAATAGCCTAAGTGTAGGTCGGGTAGCAGGAAACAAGACTATTTTTATTTTTGGCCTATGTACTAATTATCATCTCATGATTAATGTTCCTTCATCAGCATGATTAAGAGCATAATTTGATGAACCCCCTTGTCACAACAACGAAAGCCTTATACTTGTAGCATATATAAATGTCTGGGTTCTTTCTGTTTTAGGCCTAATGAGTATTTTTCAGTCATTTGAAAAAAATGCAAGAGGCTTTGAATGAAAAGATTTCCAATTTTCCCCCAAAAACTACATAAAAACTTTAGGGTCGGGTGCAAAAAAATAAGGTAGGTAGGGTAGCTGACTAGCAGGAAACAAGACTATTTTTATTTTAGGCCTAAGTTTGGTAGATTTCCTTTCTTTTCCTTGCTGTTCAAAACGTTTCAGGGAAGAAAATTCTCTGGTAACCATGGAAACTAGAATATTCTGATTTGTGAAGAAACTGAAATATTCTATGAGAGTGTCTATCCCAAACTGAAAGGCACATCTTTGTATACAGGATACGTACCCCTACTCAAATGAGGGGAAGAGGGTGGCTATATACGAAACAACATTTTATTTTATCTGTTCCTGGTTCTGCAGAACCCTTTCAGAATGGTTTAATTAAAGAATTGGAAAAAACTTGGCTTTAAAAAATGTTATTGCAATCAGAATATTGTTGCCCAATTATATAATTATTTGTGAACATGAATTATGCTTGAATAATTTTCTGCAAATTGTATCTTTTCAGGTGAAAACAACGGTAAGTATAGAAATCTTTTGAACATCTTCTTTCATAGGCTCAATAAATTGCTATTTTTGCTGTGATTGAATGCCACTGGCAAGACACCAAGACCACATTAAAATGAAAGTCATATTTAAAATGAGAAAAAAAAAATTTTAAAAAGTATCTTGCACAATTTAGAGATGTTTTATATTCCTAACATTTACAATTTTTTTTTAGAGACGAGTTTCTGTAAGTAAACACTTTATATAATACAATTGAACTTCAGTTATTTTAAATGTTGATATCAAAAATTCTCGAGAGGGACATTAAACAATATACAATAAATCAATCAATCTTATGAAAACCACTGATACATTGTCATATTGATTTGAGTTGAAAGTGATTTTCCCCCTGTTATACTAACTTTAATCTATAAATCTGCATTTTATATGACAATATTTAATAAATATTTTGGTTTTCTCCTTGGATTAGAAAATTCTTTTTTTCCATTAAATTATATCATAACATGTATGCAGTGTTATTTGCTGGCTCTGTAATTCTATATTTATGAGTGTACTTTGGTTTAATTTAGATACGGAAACAGAGTCTTGTTGAGGATGATCCCTTCCTACAAAGATTTATCACAACAGAGAGGGCTGAAATTGATGACCATCTTCATGACTTTACAGAAATATTTACCACTGGGTAAGCTTCATATTCATAGACAGAAATATTTACCCTTAGGTTAGCTGGATATTCATTGACAGACAGAAATATTTACCCTTAGATAAGCTGGGTATATTCATTGAAAGACAGAAATATTTACATTTATATAAGCTGGTTATATTCATTGAAAGACAGAAGTATATTTTCCCTGGATATTCACAGAAAGAAATATTTACATTTAAGCTGGGTATATTCATGGACAGACAGATATATTTATATAAACTGGGTATTTCTATTGACAGAAATATAAACCTTTAGCTCAGCTGAGGGGTTTTTTCATTAAAAGACGTTAGACAGAAATATTTATTATATATACCTCTACTGTTACATTATTACTCTAATCTATATAACATTAATACCACAAAACTTATTATTATACCTCTACTGTAATTACTCTATATAAAATTAATACCATTTAACTGTCTATTTCCCCAAGAAGAGACTATTTCCCTCATCTGAAGACTACTCCCAGGGAGTACTCCCTCAATATTTATTTATCAGTAATTTTAACCAATCAAAGACACTTTGTTCAGTGGGCGGAGCATTCAAGGAATCTCGAGTCTGTGACGTCGTTATTAGCAATGTAATTATGCCGTCAAAACATTTCAACATGCGATTTCTAAATCATACTTGAATTCTAGAAAAATTAAGACTGTCAACGATAATTCTTCGAAATGTCTGTGAAAATACTTTTTAAAAATAATTTAATTGTTTTAGGACCTGACACATTGCTAATCATACAATCTGTTAAACCGAATGCATTTGTAATTATGCCCTACAGTGTTTTTTTGCTTTAATGTCGGAATATCTGGTAAAAAAAAATAAATCGCAGGCCTATGATTGTTTCGGTATAATAGAACAATTATGGAATGGTACGTTAGACAGAAATATTTACCACTGGGTAAGCTGAGAAATAGCAAATTTATGGTTCCCCTCGGCAGGAAACTAGTTCCCTTGGCTGCTTTGCCACCTGACAGGAAATAGTTTCCTCCCTCGGTGAACCATAAATTTGCTTTTTTCTCCGCCACTTAGCCACCTCAGGAAATAGCTTCCTCCCTGGTGGAACCATAAATTTGCTATTTCCCTCGTACCTATTCCAAAACTGTATATTATCACTGGGTAAGCTGGGTATTCACTGACAGACAGAAATATTTACCTTTAGGTAAGCTAGGTGTTCATTGACAGTTAAAGTAAAACATTTCATAATTGATGATGACACAACACCACTATGCATGCATAAAATATATGATATTCTAAGATGCAAAATGTTGGTCATTTTTACAGACAGACAGATGGACGGACGCATTACTATATATCCCATAAGCTCTTTTTGTCTCTGACCAGTAGAGCAAAAAACATTAACTGTGTCAGTGTTTCTATCATAGCAGTAATTGATACTGGAGTATAATATCAGGTAGTCAGAAATCAATTTTCTTGAGTGTTCTTCTTTGCCACTGTCAAGTCAAGTAAAACTACTTTTTATATTTTGTCAGGTTTTGGTTAAGACTGGTCATTAACCCCGCCAACCCTCCCTACTTCTGGTGGTCCTCTGTTGTCACCGTCTGTATTTTATACAACCTCATCTTCGTTATAATGCGAGGATGTTTCTGGGACAAACTGCAGGTTCCAGGATTGGTATATTATTGGTTCATCCCAGACTACCTGTGTGACATCATATTCATCTTTGATATGTACATTAAAAGTAGAGTAGGTATGAAAACATTTCTGACTTATACCAACTATAGAATTATTAAGTTATTATAAAGCACATTGAGGATAATTGTTTAAATTTGTAAAGTATTGATTATTTCTAAAACCGATAATTTTCATTATCTTTATTATAATACATGTTTATCCTATTTCAGGCTTTTTGGAGCAAGGTCTATTATGCCGTGATGTGGGGAAGCTTTCAATGGTTTACCTCAAATCGTGGATGTTTTACGTGGATGTTATTTGTATTCTTCCATTAGATTTCTTTTACTTACTCATAGGCTTTAATGCCTTTTTAAGAATGAATAAATGCTTAAAAATATGGAGAATGAGGGAATTTTTCAACCTGGCAGAGACCCACACTAAATACCCTAACCTGTTACGTGTAGCTAACCTCATTCTTATCATTATCATCATTATACACTGGAACTGTTGCCTGTATTTTGCCATCAGTCGTTCCATGGGGTTCGGCAGTGACGGCTGGGTGTATCCTGATATCACCGCCCCCGAGTACTCCTCCTTCTGGAAGCAGTATTCGTACTGTTTCTACTGGTCCACCCTGACTCTCACCACCATAGGAGACACAGCCTATCCCGAGCAAACAATATCCTTCTTATACTGTATCACCTGCAGTTTGGTTGGTGTGCTGATTTTTGCCACCATCTTTGGTAATGTAGGAGCATTGATCAACGAGATGGATGCTGCTAGAAACGAATTTCAACACAAAGTAGATGCAGTGAAGCGTTACATGGAAATCCGACAAGTGACTGGTCCCATACAAGAGAGAGTTGTGAAATGGTTTGACTATACGTGGAACAACAAGGAATCTGTAGATGACTCAAAAAACTTGGAGTACTTACCCGAAAAACTACGTGCAGAAATCTGTATCCATGTCCACCTTAGAACTCTGAGAAAAGTGGAAATATTCAAAGATTGTGAACCAGGGGTTTTGGTGGAACTAGTGTTGAAACTGAAAATGCAAGTGTTCAGTCCAGGTGATTACATATGCAGAAAGGGGGACATAGGAAAAGAGATGTACATTATAAAGAGGGGCAAGCTTCAGGTGTGTTCAGAAGATGGCAAAACTGTATTTGTTACTTTGGAAGATGGAGCAGTGTTTGGGGAGATCAGTGTCCTTAATATTCCTGGAAATAAAACTGGAAACAGGAGGACAGCCAGCGTGCGAAGTGTGGGCTACTCAGATCTGTTCTGCCTGAGTAAGTCCGATCTTCTGGAGGCCCTACAGGAGTACCCTGATGCCAGAAAGAGCCTCAGCGAGAAGGGAAAGAAGATGTTGAGGAAGGACAAACTGCTGGACGAGGAGGCAGCGAGGCGCGAGGAGAGGCGACAACAGAACCTAGACAAGAAGATCGAGCTGATCGCAGACGCTGTGGACGATCTACAGAAGGTTGTTAACAAACTGATAGACAAATTATCACCAGAGGACGCAGACAACAAATCAGAGGATCCAGAGGAGGAACAACAGGAAAAGAAAACTTCTGAAACTCCTAAACCAGGAAAGACTCCCGAACAGGGAAAGTCTGCTGAAAAGGTAGAGAGGAAAACATCTGCCAAGAATGGTCGAGTATCGCCTAAAAAACAACCGTCCAAAGATGGTAACGCTGAAAAAAACAAGGAGGGTGAAGAGAAACAATGATGTCAGAGGAAGCAAAATTAACTGCTTGATTCCGTAGTCATCAGAAATCCCTAAAATAAGGCATGTAGTGATTGAAAGCCTCATAATTAATTGTAAAACAGGATTTTACGGGGCTTTGTATACATGTAGTTGAAGCTAAACTAAAATGATTTCTAGCCATGTAAGACGTTCCTTGCGCACAATTGAAGTCAAATTTTAGCAATTTAGACATTTAAGGTATTCCTTGTCCAGACTTCATTTTAAATTCATTGAAAATGTTGCAGTATTGAGATCATGACTTTTAATTAGTACTCGTAGTTGTTTGAGGGTGTATTAATTTTGTAATGCCATTCTGTTGTGTAGCACACATGAATTGCATGACCAAAATCTTTAATAACATTAATAACAATGTTGCCATTTTGTTAGTGTATTGTCTTTATGGAATTAATCTTTACATTTCTGAATTAATTCTATTTAAATTTTTAATATATAAGCAATATTTACAAATGAATGTATTATGTATGTTTGTATATTCTGGTTTTAAAATGTAAGTTATTTCCAATGTATTTACAAAAGTTAGTCTTGCTTGAGAAATTGGACTTGATTCGTCAAAAACTGGACAGAATGCCTTATGAGAACCAAAGCTCATACTAAGTGCATTTCAAAGTATTTTTGCTGTCAGAGATTAAGTGTTCATGCAGATTTCTTAAAACTTCACATTCAGAATCACTCACTAATAAAGGAACATAAAGTTGCAAAATCAAGGCCAAAGAAACTTTCAAATTGACAAATTAAAACACATTTCCATATTCTGCTCCAAATTTGAGATTGTATGGTTGCATACCTATGAAATGTTAGATGCAAAATAAAATTGCTGTCTGAAACTGTCAAATCATATTTTGTTCATTTGCAGCTGCATCTTGGTTGATTTGATACAGGTATCTATTACAAACTACAGACAGTATAAACAATTTTGACATTTTTTCATTTAAATGTTTAAGGAATCACTGTCTAGTTAGTATAGTATGCCAGGGCATCAACGATGGTAGGAAACATGGGATAATTTGCGTAACGGGCATTGCCCAATATGCAAATTGTCCCATTTTCCCACTATTGTTGATGTCCCTGGCATACTATACTAACTAGACAGTGATTCCTTATATTTCCATTTCATTGTGAAATACAATAGCAGATTTAGATTTTAACCAGAAGTCTCTGATGAGATTGTAGCTCTACTGGTCTCTATGTGTAAAAAGGAAAAGTAGCACTTGGATTTGAAACTTTGCAACAGGCAGCATTAAATAGAATGTATCTTAGTGTAGTCTACTTTTGTGCCAAATTTTATTGAAATCAGATCAAAATTGTAGTAGGGGTAGTGTTTTAAAGGAATTTCACAGAAATTTCTATTTTTAGTAACCATGGTGACACCATTCATTGAAATCAAAACTGATGCACTAATTCATGTATCTTAATAGCCGCGTTTTGTGTGCCAAATTATCTTGAAATCAGACCAAACCTGTAGAAGGAGTAATGTTTTCAAGGAATTTCACAAAAATTTCTATTTTAAGTAACCATGGCAACACCGGTCATCAAAATCAAAAACCAATGCACTAAATTACGTACCTTAGTGTAGTCTACTTGTGTGCCAAGTAATATTGAAATCAAACCAAAACTGTAGGAGGAGTAGAGTTTTCAAGGAATTTCAAAGAAATTTCAATTTTTAGTAACCATGGCAACATCGTTCATCGAAATCAAAAACTGATGCACTTGTTTATGTATCTTAGTGTAGTCTACTTGTATAACTTGTGTGCCAAGTTATACTGAAATCAGACCAAAACTGTAGGAGGAGTACCATTTTGAAAATTTGTTTACAGACAGACGGACAGCTAGACAGACGACGGACACATTACTGTCGCATAAGCTCTTCTGGTCTCTGACCAGTAGAGCTAAAAATCTAGACATAGATTTAAATTAAACAGGACTCCCATGCCAATTTCAATAGTCCTTGCCCACTGATGTCGAACACGAAGGCAGCCGCACAAGATTTACATGCATATTAGGCCTCCTTAGCGTCAGAGACTGATGCGCACAACATTTGCATGCATATTAGGCCTCCCTAGCTCATGACCTATCGACCTGCCTAATTTCATTCTGGTAGAATTATCAAGAAATAAAACTCCTCTAACTTGAAAAGAGTAATCACAGAGGAAAAAATTAGAAATGGAAATTTACATGTACATGACTGCATCCCTCACAAAAGGTCCCCCACAAAGTGCAGTGGTTATAGACTAGAAAGGTTTTGCTTGGAGTAGCACATTCAGATCCCAATGAGGGATACATTTAAAGACCTATCCTTAAGAAAGATTGGTGATTCGAAATTCAGAAGAGCGTATGCAATAGCAAGGTGTCCACCATCCGTTTGTGTGTCTGCAGACAACTATCAAATGGCTAATCTTCCTACAGTTTTGGACTGATTTTAATATAAATTGGCACTTGAGAAGAGTACACTAAGGTTTATAATTCTATTTATTGCCATCTGTTGCAAAGTTTCAAATCAAACTGCTTCTTTTCTTTTCTATCTGAATTCTAAAACTTTAATGTAACATATTTACAGACAAGTGGAGCTACAGTCTCATCAGAGACTTCTGTCTCTAAAAGTGACTTCAACATGAGCAAATGTCAAAGTTAAGACACACCATTTTATCATAAGCAGTCTTTGCCTGAGATATGAATTTCCAATGTTTTTTCATAAGAAAATTATGAACCAAACACTTTTACATATTCTGCCAGTGGCAGTGACTTCAGAGGATATTGGTCTGACCTTGGATCAATATTATTGTCCACTCCCAGGTTAAGAGCAAATCTTGTGCCAAATATGAGCTCAGAATTTGGTCATAATTATTGTAAAAGACCTGTAGGTAGATACTTGGTAATGGATTTAAAAAAGAAAGCTGGACTCCCAAATATGTCTCTTAATTTAGTATAGCTTTATTTAATGCATATCAGCACATCTTTTTAATTTTAAATATACTTATTAACTCTCACTTTAACAAAACAATTGATAACATGGATGTATTATAAATTTAAACATTGTATCACAGAATTTCATAGGATCACAGTCAAGTGGTGAAATTTAAAGGCACTGGTATCACAGAAGACTTGTCTCCTCCATCTCTCTGTTTAATTGTACATCAGTGGTTCCATTGGATGAGTGAGCAATAAACTTAAACTCACACCTCCACTTAAATGAGCCAATGATTTAGATAAAACAAAGGAACCAATTATTATCATCTTTTAGAGTTCACTCCTTGTATCTGCGTAAACATCCCCCAGATATACACAGATGATCCCATCATGTCCATCCCTCATGTAAACATGCCAGCCTTTCTTACCGAGCTGACCAGTCCTGGACGATAGATCGGAGTCACCTGGCAGGTAGACGGGAAACATTGACCGTGGCCCCTGCCCCAGGGACAGGAGAATACCCAGCAGCTGACCTGTGTGGTCAAAGTGGTACAGGTTTTCTCTGTAAGGTCTCTGTTTGTCATTGAAGATGGAGGCTGACACCAAATAACCGGCTACAAAACACCAAGAGTGGCCTCTGGTCACTGTCTTTGTAACGTATGATTTGATACAAGAGAAAAACAGGAAAAGACATAATTTGAAAAGTAATTTCAATTTGGTACTTAGAGCTTTGACTTTTATATATACATGTACCTGTACATAAATTTATGAGACAGTGATATACACTAGAACTTTTGTATCTCAAACATTAATATTACCAATACAATGAATATGCTAAAGTTAGAAGTCCAATCCACTTCTAAAAGTCGGAAAAAAACCCATGGATATCCATCTGCTAAAACTCATTTGAAGAATAAACATGTAAATACAAATCCCTTTATATTTAATACACACCTGATTCACTTAGGAAGCATATGTCCTTGGGTTGGCCAGCCAAGGTCACAGCTGAGGTCACTATAACAGGGGATATGTCCTCTATGTCCACACCATAGGTTGTGCTTTAAACACAAGGGAAAGACATTATCAAAAGTTTATCAAGATAAAATCTAACAAATTTAAGATATACCGGCAATAGATGAAATTCATTATACAGTGGCTTCCATTCAATTGGATAGCGGTTAAACTAAAATTTCTGGTATTTCAATATAATATCAGAACACTAAACCATTTCTTATATATATTTATAAATATTTTCTCCTGATATTCTGACGAGAAAATATTAGAATTTCGTTTTATCCAATACAAAAATTTGGATTATCATAGTATTTTTTGATAATCATGACCTTGTTCACACCTGTAACTTTGTAAGTGAAGCTTTGTAAGTGAAGCCTTTGTTCTCACTGTTTGACATCTCTACCTTTTTTTTTGTATTTTCTAATTATCATAAAACAACCGAGAAAAATCTATGATTTGAAACATTCACCCGGGAATATTTCTTGCCATCTCCTTGTGTTTATCAGTAAATAATTTATTTCCTCTGAATAAAAAAAATTAGTAGTTGTGGATCGATTTCAAAAGGGGAATCATGAATAAAAGATATGAATGATTTATGGTTTACAGAACCAGTCCAATACCCTAAGACAGAAATCAAAACAATTAATGAAATAACTTTTGTCTGTGTCAATCAAATATATAAACTGAATCAGACAGCTATTTATAATTATGCTGGCAAGTTACACCTTGTTAAGCAGATTTGACAGTAACTGTGGGTTCCTACAACAAGGAACTTATGGATACAGTATAGATTGAATTTCAACAAGAAATAACTTTAGCAATTTTGTGGTGCATATTATCTGATTATCGAAATATAATGGTAAACTAATGTGAATTTTTTTATCTATACATGTAGTTCTGAACACCCTTGCTACAAATGCAATACTGAATCCTTGCTAAAATTCCTGTTTTATATATAGTACTAAGACTTTCATTATTTCCCTTGAATTTGAATACTAATTATATTTTGGCTGCTATTTTGGTCATTACAGACTGTAGATGCTGACAAGAGAGCAGTGTTTCTTTTGTTTTTTGTTTTTTTAAAGTGATATGTCTTGAGTGGCGTACTTGGATTGTGTTTTCAGGAGGATCAGCTTGTTATCCAGAGCAATGGCTGCCCTAACAAACTCCTGATTGTTGGCGTCCTGGAATGACTTTTCTCCGAGTACTTTGAGATAACTGCAGACTTCATAGATATACTGATTTTCCAAAATCAAGGCAAAAGCTCTGAAAACAAAAAATATAAAAAAAATTAACATTTAAGATTTCCACTTTGTAAAAACTCAATTTAACTGTTAATTGTGCAAAAAAAGAGACAAAGTCCTATTAAAACTGAAAGGGAGCTCCAGTCATGATAATCTTTGCTATGTAGCAAGCAGTTTCAATCATTTTCTACCAATCTAGTAAATAAAAAACAATAAAGTTTCTGGCAAATGTTAAAAAACCAAAATGGTCATCTGAAAAAGCTTCACATTCGACCTGTGGAGATTTGACCAAGAAAGCTGCATTTTAGTATCAGCCTAAGGATAGTTTTATTTTTTAATTCATTTGAGATTATTGTGCATTTAGAACTGCAGTCTTAAAAATAGAGAATATGAAAAAGTTAATGCTTACTGTGGGTGAACAATTGTTTTAATTGGAAGTAAAGACACACATTCCACAAAAAGCAAGTATCCCGTGACTGTGACCATAACTAACATATCCCCTAGGAAGGTCAGGCGATGGATCGGATCTAGATGTTCAGCAAAAGTCTCCACCCGCTTACTGGACCTGTATAGACTGAAAGGAAAGGAGATCTGAAGATCTGACCTTAGGGCACAGTGATCACAAATTCCTTGTAGTCTTCAAAAAGTTTTAGCATTTCATTTTGTCTCGATTCTCTTACAGCATTTATACCTAGAAAAGGATTTTGTGTCTATAATGACCATTAATTTTATCCTCAAAAGAGCATTTATTGTATGAAGTGTAATGTATTTTCAGTGGTTACTCTATTAATCTTCTTTGACAATGAATAGTAATATTTATTTTTAAGCACTGACAAGACCACTTATGCCTCTAGTTGGTAAAAATATTGGTAATATTATACTACATAGTACAATACAAAGTTCATATTAGCCGACCCCTTTTCCTTGATGATAATTATATATTTACATATGACTGTAAAGCATGTAAAATAATTATTTACCACTGTGAGGCACTGATGGTGAATAATGAATTTTTGATGATGACAGGTACGATTTCCTGCTGTGACTGTAGTATGGACAGGTCAACCGAATCCATCTTGTGTAGCCATCTGTCAAATACCACTAACTGCAAGCAACTAAAAAAAATCATTAAACTTTAATTTTATGTTATGTAAAACAACCCATATACTTGATTAATAAATATTTTTTTTTAATTGTTATATTAAAACTTTTATATGTGTAAATATCTTAAAAGCAATAAAATTTCCATAATTTTACAATACTAGTTTCCTATAACTAAAATATTTCAGGTTATAATATTTATGGAATTTTTCATTAGAACTTAAAATAAAATATTTACACTGAATTTTTAAATCTAAATCCATTTTACAGTTTTATTTTATCTCGTACATGGTCCTTTTTTTTAACAGTACATACACCTGTATACCGGTATATAATCAAATTGCTCATTGAAATATAACTTTTTTTAGGTAGAAATGAATGCCTTGAGAAAATTTTCCCTGCAATTCTATACAACACTTACTGTTTGTTAAACAGTATGAGAGAGACCCCCTCTGCAGATTTAGAAATCCCACTTGTGCACTGTACAGCATCGCGTCCAATATATTTCTCCGATATTGATGGTTTTTTGAATTCTTTCCGACTTTGTGTGTGTATAACCTAAAAATTAGCAAAAATACAAATTACTTGATGTTCTTTATAAAACTTAATTCAAATTCCTATTGTTAAAGTCTTCAATCTATCAATTCAAAGAACCTTATTTTATTTTATACCCAACTGTGTTTCAATCAATTTTACTGTAGATTTAACGCAATCACATGACAGGCGACTTTCCAGATCACCACACTGTGGTTTTCTGAATCTATATCACCACTCTCTGAAACTGGTGACAAAGTACGCAAAAACATGACATTTTTTTCTTGACATTAGGCTAGCTCTTCGAATACCGGTATATATTATTTATTTGATTTCTTAATTTCTTTTTACTATATTTAACTAGTTGTAAGGGGGTATATAATAAATTTATCATAATAACAGTAACTTGATCCGAAACGTAATATCATGTCTCATTGACAGGCGCGGATCATCAGATCAAACTCGACGCTTAGCATCTTCTTTGATCTAATGATCAGCGCCTGTCAACTTAACGTGACTCATCTTAACTTAACGCGCTATGGAACAAGTTACTGTTACAATAATTAATATATATTTATTCAACAACTGTAGATGTACATTTAGTGTTTGCATGATGTCTCTAACGAAGACGTTATAACATTCTATTTCTTCTTTTTTGCATTAAATTTGTCCAATCTGACGAGTAAATCCAGTGACAGGATTAATGGCAGGTTTCATTTTTTTCCAAAATGAATTTTTTTTGTAAATCTTTCTAGAAATGACAAACTATGAAGTCAAGAAATTTCAAGGATAATAGGTTGTGACTTTTAATTTCTAACAAGAGCCCCACGGGCCTTATAGGTCACCTGAGCATCATGCAACAACTTTCCAGTGATTGAATTCGATTCATGTTTTAAGCCAGATGCTATGGCATTCACAATTTTGAAAGAGGCACCATTGATCATCATAACTATATACTTAGCAGTTGCCTAGTTTGGATACTTAATACCCAAAGGCAGGGTAGGGGAACAAAAAATGCATTTCAACTAATCAGTAATAATCAGCAATAATCAGTAGTACCCCTACCACACATGAACCCCTGATCCTTAGGCCTAGGTCCACACATTTTTGAAAAGGCACCCTTGCTTTTCAAAAATATTTGATTAATACCAAGGAAAAGATTTCAAACAATTCATTCATTTTCAGTATATAAGTACAGCCTCCCCCCCCCCTCCGTCAATGGTACCGCTGACTCTGGGGCCTTGAAATTCACAGTTCTCAAAGATTACGGTCCTTGCTCATCATAACTATATAGGCAGTTCATCTGCTTAATACCCAGGAGCAGAGAAGAAGATTTTCAAAGAATTAAAGTATTTTCACTATATAATCAATAGAGCCCCACCCTACCACCAGAGCCCCGGACCCTGGGGCCATAAAATTCAAAATTTTGGAAGAGGCACTCTTGCTTATCATAATTATGTTCTTAGTTAGTTTATTTAATATCTAGGAGCACAGAAGAAAATTTTCAAAGAATTCATGTATTTTCACTGTATAATCAATAGAGCCCTGCCCTAACACCAGAACCCCAGAAAATTTTCAAAGATTTAATGTATTTTCACAATATAATCAATAGAGCCCCGCCCTAACACCAGAACCCCTGACCCTGGGACCATAAAATTCAAAATTTTGGAAGAGGCACTCTTTCTCATCATAACTATGTACTTAGTTAAGTTTATTTAAAACCTAGGAGTAGAGAAGAAAATTTTCAAAGAACTCATGTATTTTCACTATATAATCAACAGAGCCAGGCCCTAACACCAGAACCCCTGACCCTGGGGCCATGCATTTCATAATTTCAGTAGAGGCACTCTTGCTCATCATAACTATGTACTAGCTTAGTTAGTTTATTTAATACCCAGGAGCAGAGAAGAAGATTTTCAAAGAATTAAAGTATTTTCACTATATAATCATAATAGAGCCCCGCCCTAACACCAGAACCCCTGACCCTGGGGCCATTAAGTTCACAATTTTGGTAGAGGCACTCTTGCTCATCATAACTATATACTTAGTTAGTTTATTTAATACCTAGGAGCAGAGAAGAAAATTTTCAAAGAATTCATGTATTTTCACAATATAATCAATAGAGCCAGGCTCTAACACCAGAACCCCTGACCCTGGAGCCATAAAATCCACAATATCAGTAGAGGCACTCTTGCTCATCATAATTATGCACTTAGTTAGTTTATCTAATACCCAGAAGCAGAGAAGAAGATTTTCAAAGAATTAAAGTATTTTTACTATATAATCAATAGAGCCCCGCCCTAACCCAGAACCCCTGACCCTGGAGCCATAAAATTCAAAATTTTGGTAGAGGCACTCTTGCTCATCATAACTCTGTACTTACTTAGTTTATTTAACACCCAGGAGCAGAGAAGAAGATTTTCAAAGAAATAATGTATTTTCACCACATACCGTATAAGTAGAATTTTTAGCGAGGATTTAATTTTGGCATTATTAGCTAGGGTGCTGAGATCGCTAAAACTAAATATCTCTAAAAATTAATTGCGTTTTATTTATAATAGCTTCTTTAGTGTGCATTTAAAAAATCGCTGAAATAACATCTCGCTAAAACTAAATTACCAGTTTTTAAGGACAAGTCGCTAAATTTGCGTCTCGCTAAAATTTCCACTTATACGGTACTCGTTTTTAAGCCCTGCCCTAGCACTAGAACCCCTGAACCCAGGGCCATGAATTTCACAATTTTGGTAGAGGACTCAATGCTTATTACAATCATGCAAACAGTTTGACTGCTTGATGTCCAGGAGTAAAGCAGAAGATTTTTAAAGATTGCATTAATTAGGGGGGCTGGGATCATGAAATTCACAAATATTGTTCCCCTTCACCCTTAGATGCTTTATGCCAAATTTGGTTGAAATTGGTTCAGTGGTTGCAGAGAAGAAGCTGAAAATGGTTACCTGGTAAATGTTAATGCACAAGGCACGAAGACGGACGAAAACGGATAGCAAGTTTACTCAGGTGACCTAAAAATGTGCCAAAAGAATTTTTATGTATGTTTTTTTTTTTATTTTTGACTGGTACACATTCATGCTTTCCATAGTGCATCTTGAGATCTTTCTTTTTTTTTCATTTTTCTTTATTATCTAAAGTTTATAAATACAGGACAAAAAAGTAGGAAAAGATCATTATTACCTTGTGATATACATGTATCTCATATCATTATCATATGATATTACATCATATGGAGTCTTTAGTATCCTGCAATCATATACTGTAGACATACATGTTTCGGCATTTTCGAGATTCATTTATGCTTTGAACACGATCACAAATTATCCACGGAAATTTGTCACAGCATACTTAATTAAAAGTGCATTGAAGATGCAATGTAAAGTAAAGAATCAGAATAATTTTCTATTCTCGGATAAAAGTGATATTGTAATTCCACAGAATTAAGCAACTGTGGAAAAAAAGGTACATTTTAATACAGTATGTACATATTTATTGTCCCTAACATAACAAGTCCTTACCACAAACAGTTCAAGGTTTTCTTCATAGTTCACTCTACATCTGAAAAATATGTCCTCCCCAAACACAAGAGGGGGTTTCACCAGTTCTATGAATGAACCTTTTTTGAATTCTTCCTGGAAAATTTTCCCAGCATTGAGTTCAGTTCCTTTGTCCCACTTGTTAAACCGTCCTCTCTGTTTTTGAGTTTTTTTGTAGGCAGCGTTAGCACTGTGAAATAATGGACTGGTAACGTCCTAAATTTACAGAAAAAATGTCAAAATATTTCTATTGTCAAATTTGTATCAATTGTAAAAAGTTAATAAGTGCATTTTCAATAGATCTGATAGTTGAAATGAAGTATAAACTTTTAATAATGGGAAAAACAAATATATGAATCCCTTTTACACATCTAGCAAAAAATATAGATATCATTAATGATTTATTCTTTTATAACTAAATTGATGGAACAATTTGATGTTTATAATTACCGTCTGAGGAATCCTGCAGTCCTGGACGTAACATAACCTCAGTACCTCCATTATACAGGTTTTTATTGGTTCCTCTGTACTTAAACCTCGGACTCTGTCACGTTCTCTCTGAAAAAAAAAAATTCATTCAGTAACAATGTACGAATATAGTACATGTATACATGCAGTTATGGAATGGGTACAAGGGAAATAGCAAATTTATGGTTCCACGAGGGAGGAAACTATTTCCTGAGGCGACGAAGCCGCCGAGGGAAATAGTTTCTTACCGAGGGGAACCATTAATTTGCTGTTTCTTAAGTTCACATTCCATAACTGTTTTATTATACCGAAACAATCATTATTATTATTATTATGTTTATTCAGGCAAAGAGTCAACTTCATTACAAATCATAATACAAATTTACATGCATAAATCAATTAGGGATCGCTTAAAAGTTCTAGCACATACACATAGCTATCACATTAAAACAAAATATCACTCCAGGTATTATCACAGTTATCATTATCACAGGTTTATACTGATCTCAGAACCAGATCTTATCACATGCAACACAAATTAACATATTTTTAATCAATCTTTGCCTAGGATAACCCATGAAAGCAATATATAAAACATGCTTATTTCCAATGGGGTCCTAAGATGCTACAAGTTGATTATATATGGATAAGACAGCATAGACAAAATAAAAGATAAAATTGAGGATTACATAAAAAGTTTCATAACCTTATAAAAATATTTATACATAAATACTTTCTTCATAGGCGATTTAATTTTTTTACCAGATATTCCAACATTTAAATTAAAAAACACCATAGAGGCATGTTACTTATGAGCTGCCATGTGCATTACCAGTTTTAATTAAAATGCAAAAGGGGAGGTAATTCAACTCAAAACCCTTCAGCATGCTTATTTCAAGATAATTGAACTGTGAAATCGCAACTTTAACAACAATTTGGAGAAACATTGGTAGTTTTAGTCTTTAACAGGATGATTTGGTTTATTTACTCTTGCTCGTCTTATTTTATAGGCTATGGAGTATTTTTTACAATACTTGTTGAGAGGCAAGGAAAATAGATTCCATAGTTTTGAGTGAACCCTAACACTCACCTAACACTTACCTAACAGACAGAGTCTGGGAAATAGTTCTCCTGGAACTTAAAGTGCCCCCCCCCCCCCCCGTTGGTACTGGTTGTAATCCTGCCCTCGGCAGGAAACTATTTCCTCCCTTGGGGAACCATAAATTTGCTACTTCCCTCACACCCATTCCATAACTGTATAATGTCCTTACTTGATAGACAAAGTCTCTAAGCAGACTGGCCACATTGATTTTGGCTCCCTCTCCATTAGGCCCCTGCCAGTAGAGTTTGAATACTGGCTTTGCTGGCCTATGAGAACTAAGGTTTCCAGGCATTATCATCTGTACAACACAGCCATTCTCACCTCGGTAAATCTCCATTGGCACTAATACTGGTTGTGAAACTGGAAAATATTTAATATATCTTGCATAATTAACTTAAGTACCAAATAAACAAGCTTATTCAGAGAATCTGTGTCCCCTAGCTTTGACCACGCTGTTCTTTACCAGATTTACCCCTTGTAATAACCTATTGTGATTCCAAATTATGGTCCCGTTGTACTCCCAGAGGTCATGAATTGAACATTTTAGAATCTACACTACCCCAAGATGTTTTCACATAAGTTTTAGTTTTTCTGGGCCAGTACGTGGTTTTTGAATAGAAGAATTTTAATTTCTTATATACTTCTATGTAAAACTTGGCTTCCCTATTGTGGCTTCGCCCTACCCCTGAGGGTCATGATTTGAACAATTTAGAATCTACATTACCCCAGGATGCTACCACATAAGTTTCAGCTTTTCTGGCCCAGGTTCTTGAGAAGAAGATTTATAAAGAATTTTCCTATGTATTTCTATGTAAAACTTGGCTTCCCTATTGTGGTCTCGCCCTACACCTAGGGGTCACAATTTGTATAATTTAACATCTACGTTACCCCAGGATGCTTCCACATAAGTTTCAGCTTTTCTGGCCCAGTGGTTCTTGAGAAGAAGATTTTTAAAGTTTTTTTCTTTATATTTCTATGTAAAACTTTGATTCCCTATTGTGGCCCCATCCAACCCCCGGGGGTCATGATTTGCACAATTTAGAATCTACACTATTCCAGGATGCTTCCAAATAAGTTTCAGCTTTTCTGGCCCAGGGGTTCTTGAGAAGAAGATTTTTAGATTTTTTTTCTATATATTTCTATGTAAAACTTTGATTCCCTATTGTGGCCCCGCCCAGTCCCGGGGGGGGTCATGATTTGAACAATTTAGAATTTACACTATCCCAGGATGCTTCCACATAAGTTTCAGCTTTTCTGGTCAAGTGGTTCTTGAGAAGAAGATTTTTAAAGGTTTTTTTTTCTATATTTTTCTGTGTAAAAATTTGATTCCCTATTGTGGCCCTGCCCAACCCCCGGGGGTCATGATATGAACAATTTAGAATCTACACTATCCCAGGATGTTTCCACATAAGTTTCAGCTTTTCTGGCCCAGTGGTTCTTAAGAAGAAGATTTTTTCAAGACCCCTTCCTATTTTTGTCTTTTCTTGACTATCTCCCCTTGGGAAGGAACTTGGCCCTTCATTTTAAGAATTTTAATTTCCCTTCACCCAAGGATACTTTGTACCAAGTTTGGTTAAACTGGCTTAGTGGTTCTTGAGAAGAAGTCGAAAATGTGAAAAGTTTACAGACAGACAGCTGGAAAGATGGACGGACAACAGACAAAATGTGATCAGAAAAGCTCACTTGAGCCTTCGGCTCATGTGAGCTAAAAAGTGTTGCAGACAGACAGAACTACATACATACGGAAGGACAGATTGACTGATGGATTTATACAGACCCAATATAATATACCCACTTACAGCGGGGGACAAAAAGGACATAATGAAATTTTGTTAATTTTAATGACTGAAAGTGTTTTATTTATGTATTAATATCAGCTTCATGCTTTGACTATCCCTTCACAGATCTTTGAAGAGTAATGAGATATTTTAATATCTGAATGGTACTTACACTGATGTGTTAGATTATTGTCAAACTGACAAGAAACAGAGTGAAAGCTCCTCAAAGTCACAGAAGTCTGGGATTCTGGGAGATGTATAGCACTTAAAAAGAAAAAGATATAATTATATTATATTGAATGAATGAGCAAAAAAAACATCCATGATAAGCCTTAAAAGCATGCAAAAATGTTATATTGTACTTGCTGTTTTTAGTATATGGATTTGTTTGTATTTGTGCCAAAATTCATTCTGTACTGACATAGGTTACAAAGATACAGAGATAGTTTTTTATCTTTTTAATCACTGGCACTCCTATACGAAAGTCTGCACCTTGTACACTTTTACACTTGAAATATTAGATATAGATGATTTTCCTATGATGTTGTCTTGGAGTTATTCCCCTTAGCCGCCATCTTGAAGGGCAAAGTAGTGATTTTTCCTCTTTGAACAACCAATTTTATAAAAATGCATGCCAGAAATATATATGGGAACATATTTACTATCTTAAAATTATATTAATACATGTAGATATTTGAACAAACATACCGGTATATTCATAAGAAAAATGGTGTTATCTCTACCTCAGTAACCAGTATAATGAATTGAACTTGGTTGAATAATGAAAGGCTCAGGGAATGTTGTCCTACAATATGGCGGCCATGGGGAATAACTCTTGCTTAAATCACCTCAAGGAAAAATCATCTATACCAGCTAGTAAATGTATATAAAATTTACACGAGTAGATAATGTGAGATAGTAAGACAGCTTACCCAGTGTATGGGTTAAGTAGAACGGACTGAACAGGTGGCAGGGACATCTGGAAATCCCCTGTCAGGTGACCTTCAGGGGTCAAATGCAGGTTAAGGTCACGACAACTTATATCTGCCTCTGTTGGACCACTGAATTAACAAAATCATAATGTCCAATTGTATGCAAAGTTTCATACCGCCAGCATTCAATTCTATCGCTTTTTATCTCAGAACCCTTCTGGTTTTATCTAGACTGTGATGTATATATTGTGATGTAACACAAGTTAAGTCAGCTATAATAAGGCATAATAAAACACCCATTTTCTGACTATTCCGACAATAAGAAGTTTATTGTCCCTCTTAACAGAAACTATCTCTCTGTGTTGTGCCTGGGGAGCTGTGCCAACTTTTATTCGGTGAAAATTTTCGCGAGGTTTGCATCCTCGTCATCGCGATCTTGGGGGGGGGTCTCTTTTTCTTTAAAAACAGTTCCAAAAACGGCTTGGTCGCGAAAATTAATCGTCGCAAACTAGTTTACTCCCGGTAAATCGCGAAATAAAGTCGTCGCGAATAAAAGTTGGTTTACAGTATATGTACTATCTTAGGGGGTGATTGCTTATCAAATGTATCAGTATTTACATGTACAACATCTAAATAAAATACATGTAGTAATACAGTAAAACTCAGTTATAACAAAGTCACTGAGACCTTTGAAATTGCTTCGGTATACATGTATCCTTAATTTCTTATATCCATATAAGGAATTTGTTAAAGAACAAGGTTCACTTTTGCCTTATTTGGCCCCGTGAAATTCTGAACAAGAGGCCCATGGGCCACATCGCTATATCAGTGAATTCGCAATATCTGTACTAATCAAGTTTTACTGTACCCTTTACCATGCCATTTTATATCAGAGTACTGACCATTTGAAACTGTGCATCCATTCAAAGTTCCAGTAGTCGTCAAACTTCTGACAGGAGAATCTCGGGGGGTTCAGCTGGGTTCTCCACAGAACTTTGATGGGTGTAACTAGAGGGGATCGCTCAACGGCTTCTGTAAGTGCCTCCCAAGGACACCCCTCATATTCCTCACAAGTAATGATGGTCCTGCAGAAACATCATAATTATTACAAGACTCTCAGTGACACAGAGGGAACCTGATATGTTTAGGCACCATTGGTGTGGATAAGGCAGGAATATCTTTGAATGTTTTGAATCAGAAATAATCACTTTTTTACATATGTAAATAAAAAAAAGAAGAAGAAGAGAAGTCCCCATATATTGCAATGTTAACCTCTGACTCCAAATTTTGGACTCACCTTTAACATAAATTGAACAAATATTTATCTCCACTATACATGTAGATATTGTAGATCACTATATTTTCCTGACACCTTATTTTCCCGAGATAAACATTTTCTCTTTCTTAGGGAGAACATTTTTTACAAGTTGTAGTAACTGCTCTAAATAACCTTTAGGAATACTAATACATGCAAGAACGTTATTTTCATGAGGAGACTGCTTCACGTAATTACATGAGAATACAGTTATTGCAAATAAAAAATTATTTTAAATGACACATAGGTTCCCTCTAATTTAATACCTAATGGAAATTAAAATAATGCTTTCTACACTACCACTGCTATAAGGAAATAGTTGTTGTTTAATTTACATCTAATCAAAAACTATCTCTCAGAAGATACTTGCACATTAATTTTAAAATATCACTAACTGTAGTTCTGCTATATATATTGTTAAATTCGTGTACTTAAAAAAATGGGCTATGGTACATATTATAGCTGCTTTGGCACTGACAACAATGCTCCAATTCATGAATACCATTTATAAATCATTGATATATACTGTATACAGTGCAGGCATGTTTGAAACCTGCCAAACTGCCCGACTCTACCCCTTCTTTCATACAAACATATTTGTTTCCCAAATCCACGCTCATCAAATCCCTATCAGTTTTAATCACATCTATGTGGTGTTATGGTGTAAAATGTTATGGAGATAAAAAAAAAATTAATAATATAAAAAAGGTACTTACTCTTTCTGTTGGAACATTTGGTAAGTAGCTTGTGCCCTTTTTCTGTTTTTCTGGATGGCATACAGCATAGATACAAAAACATATAGCTCTGGGTATACACCACAGAGAGGCTCCAGCCTCACTCTGGCATCTTCTAACCAATCAACTCCCATTTCTAACAAAATTTACATCAAATGACATTTAATTTCAGCACATGACTCTTTAAAACGAAAGACTTAAATAGTAGTCCAATACGACCCAGGGGCAATAGAGATTTACAAACAGAAGAATCCAAATAATAGAACAAATATGATCTTATATATATAGTTATGACTGTTATGACAGCAATCCATAATAATTTTAAAATATACAATTATTGTATAGTTTGCTTAAGTATACATAAAAAGTTTTAAACAATGCATGTGTTATTCCTACTTTAAATGTATAATTATGAAGTTGTATCTGGTGAAGGGAAAATGCAACGGACCAGAATTCAAACCCACCCCTCTTATTGGAGGTGATCTACTGAGCAATCTTGCCTGCAAAAATGGCCACTGGCAATCGACTTAGCAGAATGCCACATTTCTCCCTCAACAAAAGGTCTATTCTCCTGAGATCAACCCAGGTTCTTTCTTGAGAGGACTTTAACCTATCACTTCCAAAGCATGGAACCAAATGTTACAGGAAAGGATAAAACTGTTGTGGACCAAACCAAGATACGAACCCTGCTCCCGTGAATCACTTATTCAGGTGCCCTACCAACCGAGTTATCTTAGGTCATAGGCAATTCAACCTGCCTGACCACCACAAAGTATCACCTGATCATCAGATTTTAAATTGACACTTCATGTGTGCTCAATAAACTACATCTATCCACAGTCTTTACTTAAATAAATGAGCTGATTGTACAAACCTACCAAAACGTGAGTTGCTATGGTAACACAGAAGAGAGTCCATGTAGAAGATATAATCCAAACCGTCTGCTCCCCAATCAGGCAAAGCATGGACACAGTGGATCCACTTCTCAGCAGCCAGCCGGGCTTTCTCAGAGGTCATTACTCTGTCAAGGTCAAACATTAAAAACAAGGTCAAACATTAATGTTTACAAGAGTCAATTCCTTTTACTCTGTATTAGTTCACATTACCAGTTATACTGGTGAGAATATATACATATTATATATAAGAATCTGTTATTTGACTATAATGCCAAACCCATTGTGAGTTCACAGCAGTTGGATATGAAAAGAAATATCCAATGAGTGATACCCACATGATAAGGGGTAAATGTGATTGAAAAATATGTATGGTCAGTAACACTAACCCTTGGTCACAAAGATTAGCCTTTAGGAGTGAGATCTGTTTTGAAACTTGCAGGGCCACCTCATCTTGACAATAGTAAGGCTTGGATGAGAAAACCTCTGTTATGTCAGCCATACTGTCAAAGGACAACCGAACTGGGTCATCAAAAAAGCGCAACATTCTGCCTATCTCATACAAATACAGCGCCTTGTATCTCGCTGAAATAAACAACACAATTGTATATCATCTTGTACAAATACAGCACCTTGTATTGCGCTAAAATAAAAACAACTTATACTGTTTAGCATTCAGTGTTTCATCTGGGTTATACATTTCTTTAAAAATATGCTCTTATACATCTATATAATAACTACATTTATATGAAAAGAAATTTTAAAAATTCGAGTTTCCTACGTTTTTTATGTGTATGAATCAGATGATGAAAGCTTTCTGTGGCCCTGGCAATATCTCCTCTTGCCCAGAATATGTACGGCAGGACTTTGTTATAGAATTCTCCCATAACAATAGGGAATCTGAAAGTAAAATAAATCATTGACACTCATACTGTATACTGAATCTTGAATACAGTAAACTCATTTAGAACGAACATAGATATATTGGGAATTAATTATATTTTATAACATGATACAAAATGTAAGTAAAACATCAAACCACAAATTCACTTTCACTGTGTAACAGAATTTTGTTGTGCTAGCATTCTTCCTCCAGTAAATGTTTTACCTTGTTTTGAGTGTTGTAACAACTTTCTCTACTGCTCTGTCATATGGAGTGGAGCCACCTCTCCCCTGCAGTTTTGGGTTTCCTTTGTGGGGGTCTGGGAAGGGTAATGTCATATGTAAGAAGCTTCCAAGGACTACAGAAAAAAAATCAACAATGCAATAAATGTACCTGAACAGTCCAGCACGTTTTAGTCAGTGATGGGACCGTTTACTATTGGAAAATCATTTGAACATCATTTCTAAGCAAAATTAATGCCCTGTTCACACAGAGAGTTTAATTCGAATTAAACATAAAGTTACTGCGAATTAGCTTCGCTTAGCGTTCACACGGAGAATTTAATGCGAATTAGTTTACTGCGCATTAAATTACTTCGCATCAGCTCCGTGTGAACGCTAAGCGAAGCTAATTCGAATTAAATTTTGACGCATGCATAGGGCCAGAATTAAGTCACAGGACACATGTTGGTGGTTATATATAGGTGTTTGTGCTATATTTGGTTCAAAAATTGAGGGAAAGTATGTTAATCACTAAAATTAATTAATTCCTATAACCACTACAAGATGTATCAAAGGATGGCTCTGCATACATGACGTGATTTACAAATGACGTCATAATAGACTTACTGATGCCTGACTGTAGAAGAAAAAATTTAATTCGCATTAGTTTACTTCTCATTAGCTGTCGTGTGAACGCAATTTAATTCGCATTAATTTGATTCGCATTAGTTTACTTCGCATTAATTTACTGCGAATTAAACTCGTCGTGTTAACAGGGCATAAAAGATACATGTTTATTGCTGACATTTAAGATATAACTTTTGACCATCAACATTACATAATAAGTAACTGAATTCTCAAACTTACCTGACATCAGTTTGTAGGAGAAATAAGACTTTGATGAGCAAAAAGAGTAGAGTTGAGTTACAGGTAGAAAACCAACTTTGCTGTCCCCTAAGAGAGGTCTGTCGTAATAGGTTCCACAATAAGGACTATGAGGATCAATATTCCACACGATACGTACCAGAACATTCAGTTCATAATCACCTTTATACATATCTAATTTAAGCTCTTCTTCATATTTAGATAAAATTGAATTCAACCAGTTTAGTTTTTCTTTATTTATCTCAGTCTCTCTGTTAATTTCCTGTCGTAAGCTGATGGGAATCATACAACGCCTCGTTCCCAGTTTTTTATTTCTACTTAACATTTTCACACAAAGAGAATACAGAGATGGAATTCCTTTGGGTACTTGTGTTTTTACTGGATCATCTAGTGTATCCATGTCATAAAAAGGAAGTTCTTTTAAAAGAGAGCAAACATTTTGTAAGAGTCTTCTCTTTCTTTTCTGTTTCTTGCTAGGTGCTCTCTTATGTATATCATTTCTATCTGTATCTTCTATATTAAATAAACTAAAATCATTCCTATGTTCATTAATTTCTAGTAACACTATTCCAGGATCTTCTTCTTCTTTGGATGAACAAGAGTTGGATGACAATACGGCATTATTGTCTTGTTTAATTTCAAAATTTTCCTCTGCAGAGAAATATTCGCTGTCATCTGATTTGTCATTTTCACTGAGAGTGTCATGCTCCTCAGAAAGTTTCCTGTATTCCTGACAATTGTTGTCAGTATCACTGTTAGATGAGCTGAGGGAACTAGACAAGTCTGACGAGGATTTACAGACATTTTGCTGACTTCTCCTCCTCCTTCTAGACTTGCCTACAATCTCTGTTTCCTGACTGAATTCCTGTGATATCACCCTCGTGTAGGAGGGACGCTGTCTTCTTTGTGTTATCAATATTTTAAGTCCTGTTTTGTCTTCTTCCATCTAGATGATTAGTCACCTTGAGCTAAACAATAGAAGAAGAAATCAATGCATTATTTTTAAGTATTTTCATAACATTATCAAATATCAGACACTGGCACTGAGTGCACCCTCAAAACTGCACATCCACATTCATGATTGACCAAAATAATTTGAAAATTCAAGTGACCCTTTTAAAAAGCAAAATCAATTGACAGTTCTAAAATCAAACATCGATCAGTATATAAATGTTCGTACAAGTATAGCATTGTAACAGGAAAGGAGATAATGTATGGCTGGATCGGGTATCGAACCCAAGACCCCTCCATAAATGGTTTTTGCCCTCAAAGACACAAACCAAGTTCTTATTAACCCCTGGCAGGACTATTACCTGCAATTTCAGGGGTTGTCATCTGCACCACATGATTGCAACAGGAAAGGAGAAAATGTATGACTGGACCAGGAATCGAACCTGACACCTGCATCATTAGTCAGGTACTCTACAAACTGAGCTACCCAGGCTGATATCCATGGTTAAAACCATTACATCATAAAGAACTTACCATATATACTCGCCTATAAGTCAGTCCGCCTATATGTCGGTTGTATTTTTTAAGGTTATTTGGCAGGGATTTGCCATTGACCCACTTATAAGTCGGTACAATTTTTCGCCAGAATCAGATGACAATTTCTAATAAATGCTTTGATGTTTTACCCTAATTTTTAATTAATTTTTTAAGAATGACCTTGATATTCAACTTTAAATCATAAAAAATAAATACTGCCCTCTTAAGATTAAAAAAGATATATATTATGTATAATCTTATAATACATAAACGATATAATGTATCCATGCTTTGCTCAACGATAGCTGTTGAAAATGTTTATAGAATACTATGATTTGCCATCCAGAAAAAAACCTGTCTTTTTATGACTCGCCTACAAGTTGGACATAGACTTTTGAACTAAAATTTAACTCCCAAAATACCGACTTATAGGCGAGTATATACGGTATATATCATTTAGTTTTAAACAACAGGCACATTGTTTCGGTAATAAATTTTTCACCCATAGTATAATAATAACATACTCCTACAAGTAAGAGCCTCGGTTAACGTCCCTACGCTCCTTTTATACCTCGGCGCTCCTTTTATACCTCCTTTTATACGCGACGCCAAGTCAAAAGTGTCGATCTCGCCGTGAACCTCTAGAATGCTGGAGTAAATAATACATTGTAACCCTGTTATTATTATACTATATACACGGGCACTGGAAGTCAGTGTAAAAATAAAATAAAAAATACATGCACATACTCATGCATTGCAATATCTAAATAATTATTTACATTAATTTCCAGTGCCCGTGACTGTGGGTGAAACCAAAATAAGTGCCTATGTTTTAAACAGTTTTAAAAATGAAAAAACAACCTTTTATGCAGATGTATGTCCAAACAGTCCAAATAATCACTGACTGGCTATAAGCGTGCAATGACATTTCTGTTTTCTGTCATAAAGTTTTAAAATTTTAAGTTGTTTGATTTCACAACACATAGAAACAGTTTACTTTCACTTTCATTTTAACAAACATCAATGGTGTTTCGTTCACTAACATATTCGGACTCGCAGAAGAAACTGATTTTTGGAAGCACGGAATCATGAAAGGGGGAGAAGGGGATGATTGAAAGAGAAAAAATTCTGGCCAAAAGAACTTGACAAGCAAAATAAAAAAAGTATATTTCTCCATCAGGCGCGGATCCAGAAATTTTTTCCAGGGGGGCTCCATTTTAATGCTCCCATTTACCGTCTCTTTCTAGTAAAATATCAAATATTAAACAGATGTGTCTGATTCTTTGATTTTTTTTTATTTCAAGCTCACAGGAATATATAATTGTAATATATGATGTAATTGCAAGGATGGCCCACTCAAAGACAAATAAATCCCCTCAATCGTTTTCTGCGAGATTTTAACATACATCTGATACACTTAATCTATTCTGACAACGTGTCAAGGTATTTTTTATGCCTAGCCCATCGCCTGGCATAATCCTCCACAGAATCCATAATATTTATGAAATTAATATATCGATAACGCCAGTAAATAGATCGGGGTTCCTTAAATTTTGGCCCTTTTTAAAATAATAAATTTATATTCAAGCACAATTATATACCAGAAAAAATTTAGTTTAAAATATATTTTATTCAGTGAATTGGATTGAACAGCAGGCATAAATGCCTATGATCGTTCTCTCCATAAACATTTTGAATGTATACGCAAGTACTTTAATTGAGATTGATATTATTTATATGTTTGAGTTTCTGATTGACAAAATCATTAGTAAGGGTAAAATATTAATTATCGTAAAATAGATTAGTAATATCATTTCAGAGGTATACAAGTTTTCCAAAAATCTATCGGAATCCCCATGGGTATTGACTGCGCCTCGTTCTTAGCAGATCTAATTTGTATTTATATGAATCAGAATTTATTCAAACTTTTATTCATGAAAAAAAAAAAACTTGATGTGGCCTTCAACTCGACATTCAGATACGGTATATCGACGACGTATTATTTTTTAAATAGTTACTGCTATTCATACGTTGAGTTGATATATCCTAGTAAGCTTGAAACAAACAATTCACAGAGTCTGACATATCTATTTCATATTTGGATATCTTTCTAGAAAAATACATTTATCCTAATCTAACAACAAAAAAAAACTTTATGATAAAATGATGACTTTAACTTACCTTTATATCGTCTATGGTTAGCTCTCTTTAATTGATTACATATGTATCAATAAATATACCCTTATCACCTGCATATGGGGTTTATGTCTCCCAGTTCATTAGAAACGCAAGCGCATGCTCTACGTGCGAATATTTTCTAAGACAAGGCAAGCTATTGACAAACAAGTTGATGTTAAAATTATCAATCTGCTTTAAAGTTATTATTTTACAACTCTGGGTTGGTTTTTGCATACTAATTTTGTTAGTGCACACTGAATATTGTCTATGTATGCGTACTCACCCATGATCCAAACTCTGATAAATGTTTTCTTGGAGGTCCGCACATGTTTGCATTTTTCCTCACTAATTGTGTATGCATGGTTTAAAGATACATAATTATGATCATGATAACTGTTTGTTATCCTCATATTTCATTGATATACATGTATGTTGTATTTTGAAGAACATCCTTTAAAGGAAGTCTTTATTTTCCAAGTGTAATTTATCGTTGTAAGGAAGAATAGCATTTGTTATTTGAATTATATACTAAACAGTTTGTGAAATCTTATAGATATAACCAATCCAGTCCAAGCTGTTCTTTAACAGATTTTAAAAGAAGGGAACATTTCCTATACAATACAAGGTAAAAATTTTACACCGTTTGTTGACCATTTTAACTTTAATTTACGTTATTTGAAGATGTTTTGTTTTGTTTCTCATTATTTAAGAAATTTCAGTTATGAATTTTTTTTCTCTAAATACTAAATTCTAGATCTTTATTTTCTTTTAAAAAATATTTTAACATATAAGCATTCTGCATGCATTATTTATCCATCTTATTGATACTTTAAAACATTTTGATAAAAATAAGAATACATAATGTACATTTATGTACATAAATTGTTTTATTCCAATTTGTGAGTTACCGCACTCCTGAAATTTGTTACACTGAAATCATTTTGATATTCTTTCAGACTGTGACAGAATTTCATTTATATTCAATAAATAAATAGGTTTTAGCAGTATATTTCGTCGTTAAAAATGAAAAAAAAAATTAGTTGGGTTCACTTTCTCGATAACGAACAAGAGGAATCTTTTATACTGTGTCACTGACACGTAGGCTCTTCTTTTTCTTCAGTACCCGGATGACAATGACGATCGCTATGATCAACAAAGGTACAACCACGCCTACCCCAACATAGACGTAAGTCAGTGGGGAGGAGACTTGTGTTGAGGAATCTTTCTGATGTTTATGAATTTGGCCATGGTAGTGGTACAATTACAGTGCTTCCATGATCGTCAGTGACAGGTCTACCATATTCATCTCTCAATAGACTGAGAACTACCGCAGTTGTTCCGCCATCGGTTAATGGTTTGCCGAATTGATCCGTTTTAGGAAATAAATAATATGGCTTTCCATACGGATCGGTCAAAACCTGCCATAGTTGACCTTTCGTTCTAAAATCTGTTCTTGTTAAACTCCCTTTTGACATTTTCATAATTAATTTTTTTAATGCAGTGTTGGATATTTTTCCTGCAGATGATTCTTTTAAAATATGAAAAAGACTTGCTTGGTCACATACCATTTACAATTATCCAAAAATTACAAAAAGCAAAAAAAGTTGCACTAATTTTGCACGTTCAAAGCAAGATGTATGCATAATTTGCAAAGTTTATTATCATTCATTAATGATGATTGTTCTTAAAGTTGATTATTTTTTAAAATTTATTATAATGCAGTGATTTAGTTACAATTTGAACATACTAACCGTGAACCATTGGAAAAAGGAACAGGATGATTGCTACATTTAGAAGTGAAACCATTTCTGAAATTGAACAATGTTATTGCTTACTATAGCCATTATTTAAAATCTTTATGAAAAATGAATGATGACACTGAAAATTACTTGGATGAGCTATTTTCCTTTTTTCTTACATGTACTATATCAATAGTACAAATTGAAATATACGGAGATAACGGACAGTATTCAATCTCAAAGTCCATTAAACAATACAAAATTGGAGCAGAGCAAACATGGACCTCTAAAACATCAGAGGTGGGATCAGGTGGCCATGTAGGAGTGAGCCTCCTCTGCCGACTGGTCACACCCGCCGTGTGCTCCTTGTCATGACAAGGAAAGAACGGAGAATCCGTCAACAATTCAGTGCGTAAATAATTTCCTAACAATTAACTATCATGATAAACGCCAGTTTGCTTTAAACTCAATGATAAATTGTATTTGCTGACAAGGTCATTGAAAATTGAAATATATTTAAACGAGACTGCTAATATGCTTGCTTCATCAACTTTTTTGACAATAATTTACCTCGTTTTTGAATATGTTCATACGAAGAGACGTAAGACATCAGAGCAAACATGGACCTCCAAAATACTAGAAGTGAAAGTCACAGGTCTTTCGGAAATGACCTTAAAAACGTAGGTCCCATGTCACGGTAGGCGTTAGTACGATAAAAAAACCCTCACTGCTCAATGGCCCTGAGTGCCCAGTATAGGTCTAAATTCGAAGCCCTTCACCGGCATACAGTGACGTCTCTATATGACTGAAAAATTCACGGACGTTAAACAACATACAATCAATCGATTCAATTGAGAGATATAAACTCCGTATGCAGGTGATGAAGGTATATTGCTGCATAAGTAAGGAAAATTGACAATAGAAAAGTTAAAGTCATCACGTTTATCACAGAGCTCTGTTGTTAAATAACCATTTTTGTTGTAAAATAACCAGTAAGTTATTTTTCTAGTAAAAACAAGATGTGTTTGTGAAACACTATGCGCCCGACGGCAACAAAGTTCTAAAATGCAATTTTTAGCAAGTAGGTCACAGTCAAGGTCACACGATCATTATCCTTTGTGTCATTTGAAAGCACTTAATTAGTGGAGTACGCATACCAAATATAAAGACTCTATCTCTTATGGTTCAAAAGTTATGGCGAAAATTCAAAAAAAGATATTTTTAGCATATAGGTCACAGTCAGGGTCACAAGGCTATTGACCTTGGTGTCAGTTGAAAGTGCTTTATTAGTGGAGTATGCATACCAAATATGAAGTCTCTATCTCTCAAGGTTCAAAAGTTATGGCGAAGGTTAAAGTTGACAACAGACAGACAAGCAGATAAACAGACAAACAGACAGACAGGACAAAAACGATATGCGCCCCCGAATAAATTCGGGCGCATACAAAAATCCTAATAAAAACAGATGTGTTAGACTCTGTGGTATCTTTTATTTCAAGCTCACCAGGATATATCGTATCGACATTAGAATGGGAATAACCATTTTTAATTTACAATACGATATAATTTAATGTCGAGTTGAATGCCACAGCAAGTGTTTTCTTCTATTCACGTATACGATTTCGGATAAATTAATTAATCTTCATATGAATACAAAAATAGGTCTGCTTATATGGGGGCACAATTGCTACACTATAAAATTCTAAAAGATGGTTGGAAAATCTGGTGTCCAAAATCTACATATATAGTAGATATTGTTAATCAGAAACTCTTTTTGATGACGACTTCAGTGTACTTGTGCGTACAACATGTACAATCGTAATGATTTTTATCAAAATAATTTTGCAAATGACCAGTGAGAAAATATGTAAATTTACGAGTTGGGAAAGCAGCCGTCAATTATATATATAAGAAATGAAGCTTGGATTTTAATTTATCGCGGGGAATGGTTGTGTATAAAGTTGAAAAGTCGTAAGTTTTTAAATTGTTTATTTTGGTAAAATTTTGTGATTTCAAATTTTCCAAAAGTTCTCTCACCACTTCTGGAATATATTTTTGCACAATACTCTTGAAGTTTCTC